AATATGGAGGGTATACAAGGCTTGATAGCTCGATTGCCATTCATTTTACTATTGGCTGAGCTATCGGATACCGAGTAATGATTAATAAAGAGATGAAAACTCCAGTTGTGTATTAATCTGAGTTTTTATTTGTTTAGCCATAGCCATAGTTAACCATCTATACCATTTGCAGGCTTTTGGATATTTATGCATTTGTATCACCTTTTTCAGGGTAGTAATTATATTTTGGACGCGATTGTGTCATTGGTAGTTAGCCTTTTGGAGTAATAAAAATTCCTGAGTGTTCTGCTTATGTTTTTCTTTTACGATCACGCTCATGCTCATGATATCGCTCATGCTCATGATATCAGTGTTGTGCTTCTATTGATACGAGGTTTTTGAAATCCCACCCTTGCTTGCTTGCATTTTGCGTTTACTTATTAGCTTCATATCCTTCAAAGAAGTGCGACCACGTCCATACTTGGGTATAATTTTGTTATCAAACATTATTTGCAGATGGCATATACCTTGTAGTAATCTAGAATTTGTGGGTTAACTATGATTTTCGTTTAACAGTTGTCATAGTTTTAATGACAAGAATGGTTTCTTGCTTTTGAATCCATACCTTCTGTTGCCAGCAAGGTATTAGATCTTTGACCCTCGAGGCATCTCGACCACCTGTTTTCTTAGATTTATCATGTTAGATTTGAGCGGCCGAGAGAATGGTGCTTCTAAAATTTAATTCTTAGGTTCATGCTTGTGGTTTATTGTAGCTGGTCTATTTGGAGAACCGACTTAACATGATAATAGCTTCATGGCCATGCCTATAAGTTAGGGAAACTTTAGCTTGCAATGTGGGATGAATCTGTGTCTCAGGTCGTACAACAACCAAGATTTTGCTTGATTGCATTAGCGGAAAGTGGGAGGTTTGAATGTGAATCGAGAATATTTGACCCTTCCACCATCATGACAACTAGGTTTTGTGAGAATGCATGAGAAGTTATTGTCAAAGTGTCCATGAGTTTGAATTTAATAAGAGGGAAACCTGTCTTTCTCTGCTAAACGATGGCTGCTTTTTACTTCCGAGATCGCACCAAAACCGGCTTTGCATTAGGAAAGGGTAAGACTATTACAGGTATGCAATACAGCAACCAGAAAGACTTCTTAAAAGGAGATATGTTGTACGTCACTATCATTTTTAAAACAATCCAACACTGTAATCCAACCTAACAGTAATTTCTTACGATAATCAAGCAAATCCAACGGGACTCATTATTATTATTATTATTTTTACCTTCTCCGCATACATATTTATCTGCAAAAGCAGAACCAGAAAAAGGTGTAGCAAGAGCCAGTTCGTCTCGGCTTCCAAATTCTATGAGCCTAGCCTCGACTGTTGCGCCACGTGATAGATTCGGCGACATTGGTTACTGTCCACAACTTTTGCTTCATTCATGCTTTCTTTTCTACGCTAACCTGCTCTCTGGTGGCCACCTAACCCCCCACCCCTCTGGCTTTGAATTGAAACATCACATATAAGAATTGAAACATCACCAAAATGCATCTATTTCAAAGTTTCAAGCCAAAATTTAAGACATTAGAGACAGAAAACAACATATGATAAACAAATAGAACTAGTAGATGAAAAAATTTACAAATGAAAAGGGTGGGATTTTTCATTTCTGTAAGTGTGAAAATTATCAAGTGGTGGGGAAGGAAATGACTCAATAAGGATGATGGGCACACGTTTGGTGTATTTATGGTGGATCATCATTCATCATTAATATTGTGTGTTACTTATGATTGTTGGGTTGCTGATTTCATCTCTCTGGTAGTAGTAGAAGGATTTTTTTTTTTACTGTTTAACACCCTCATCATGAGATCACAGGGTCAAATTCTTGACGCTACACTGTCTCCACCGGGACAGGACAGCAGTACTTCTGATGGGTTCTGTTTTAGTTCGGTAAAAAGTGATCTCAGTATTAAATGAGTAAAAAAAAGGACCTTTACTTCGTTTCCTATATCTAATAACTATTGAAACAGAAACGAGCAAAGTTGGTGTAATTAGAGAATCATGATTGTACAAAGTGGCTTCCTTGACTGCAAAAATAATTACTACTACTGTTGTGACTACTGCTACTACTACTAATAATAATAATGCCCTAAATGATCATTTTTGTTGCCCTTTTTGCGTTTGCGTAGCTGTCCATTTTCTATATATTTACTCATATTTATTTTTGCCTTTTTTAATGTATCAGAGACAATAAAATTGTTCACTTAAATACGTAATATAATCAACTCCAGCCAAAAGTTTCAAGAAGATGGTTCTGAGTTATGAGGTATGACCGGCGACTTGGTGTTTGATGGTAGCCTTAGAATTAGTTCAGTTGACTAATAAAAATGCTGGAACTTACAGGACCCCGTCCAACATTTGGCTGTTTATTTTCTCTGAAACACTGTAAATTATATAACCATTTATAATATAAACGCATGAACAAGTGTGTCAATTGCAATATTATATTCATCATTATATCACATTTAAGAGACTCGACGTGGTGGTTGTGACATTGATATTTTAGAACCTTTGGGGAAGACTTTGATTGGAATCCAATACTATCAAGAAAGATCAGGTTTCATCAATGTTTAATTAGTTGAAAAGTTTTGAAGCTAAGGTTTTAGCATTAAACTGATTGAAACCATGGGGTGTCCGTCCATTTGTCTATGCTTTTATTTTACAATAGAAATCGCTTTGAATCTGTTTATTTGCTTATTTTCGTCTAGTCATTGCCGTGTAGATAGTCCAGGAAAGTCAATATTTTGCAGCTAACAACCTCATTGGAAATTCCCAGGTCTACTCTCCATATGACAATGAAAGCTTATACGCCTTTTTCTATCAAAATTTCCATATCCGACTTGACTTAAACAAACATAAGAGCCGCCTTAACGTGAATTGCATTTTGAATTGATTCCTTTCTCCTACTTCTCCATTGGGGCAAAGAGAGAATAAAAAAGGGAGAAAGGAATTAGCATCCGGTTTTCAAACTGTTGGAGATGGGGCAGTTGTGTATGGATCTAAACTTGGATGTCATGGGACTTCTCCTTGCACTAGTTATCTCTATCGCCCTCATGCTAACCTGTTTTAAGCAACCTCCATGGCGCGCTATGATTGTTACTCATCGTATAGGTTGGTAAGAGCTGTGAAGGACTCTTCTTCTTCTTCATCACAAACTTTTCCCGAATAGGCTTGTTTCTTTTGGACTTTGCTTTTCAAGTTTTATAGGCTATAGCTCGTCATATTTTGAGAATTCTGATTGTGCCACGGAACTGATAAACGGTTTTTTAAGTCTGATAGCAATCTAAATTTGTAACAGAGTTTCTACTTGTCCTCTTAATAGGACAGCGAAGATTAAATTGATCTTGTCGATGACATATTTCTCTGTTTTATGATTTTGGTGAATTGAGGGATGGATTGTACAAACTCATTTGTGTCCTTATTTTTGCATGGTAAAGTGAAAAACTATTACAAAACAGGAAGATGTAATACAGTAAACACAAAATTGTACTAGCAGAGCTTGTTTGATGTGGATGAAGACGTTCACAATAACTACTTGTAAACAAAAACCAAGGAAATTACCTTGTAATGCTACAGATAAAAAAAATGATACATGACTTTCAACCATATGTAACACATGCCTTGAAAAAATGCCGAGAAAACACTTCACTTCCATTTGTTTTCCAACAGAGTTGGACGGCAATTCCTAGGGTCAAAATGGATGACAATCGACTAAAATATTAAAATATATATTGCTGAAAATGTATATTACTCCTACGTAAGAATACAGAAAATTTATAGGACAAACAGGTTAAGGACCCCAAAAAAAAAAAATTGCAACTATTTATAGACTGAGAATAATCAAACAGTAGTAATATACGAAGAGAAAGTTTAATGAAATATGTTATGGAGGAACAGAAACCAAAGGCTTTTTCATAGAAAACGTGTAGGATTAAAATTCTGCCTCCCTCTAGCCGCCATCCCTTCACTATGAATAGGATGAAAGGTACAGAAAATTATTCAAGCCACAAGTTTCTTGATGTTAGCATCAAATAAACTGAGAACTTTGACAAGATGCTAAATTAAATGGTAGTTAGGAATTCCTAAGCCCAATTTAATTTATCAAATTTATTATGGAAAGAAGACTATTACTCTGCATTAGGTACCAAGTGAACAAGGGTTGTCGTTATCTGCTTATCTGCGTACGATTCACGCATTCGGTGTTTTACTTTTCCATAGCCAGCCCTTCGAACCTAGACCAAGCCATTGGTTTCCTTTCTATTCACTACCCTGTAGTCACGGAAAGTTCACATTTTGCAGCTAATCTTTGTTTGAAGTTTTCCAGGAGTCTACATCAAACCAATGAAAACGCAGTTTGAAAAACAATTTTCCTTAATCGGAGTTGACTTGAAGTCCAATGAATATAAGAACCATTAACATGTATGGAATTTACATTCCTTTCTCCCAACTCTGAGGCCTCCTTTCGGGACAGGATACAGAAACCGTAGCTCATCCTACTGGAGATGGGAAAAGTTATTTGCTCCGAACTAAATGAAGGCAATGGTTTGGATCTCAAGGGACTTCTCTTGGCCCTGGTTATTGCTCTCACCCTCATGGCCATCTGCATCCCACCACCTCGTCCGCGAGCTATACTTGTGGCGCGGCGTGTAGCCTGAGAAGGTTCTTTGTCATTTTGGTCTGGATAGTAAGGTCCCTGGTCAGTGGTCACTTGCTTCCAAAGTTAAGCCGTATCAGGGAATTTTGTTTTCTAGTTTATGTGGGGGGGGGGGGGGGGGGGGAGTTGTCTTCTTCAATGTTAGCGGAACTCAGCCTGGAAAAGCTTTAGATGAGTTATCTTCACCTTAATCTTGCGGTATGTTTAGATTATGATAGCGATATAGAGTTAACATTCCTTAAGATTATGATGGCGATATAGATTAGTCAGGGAGGTTTCTTGTGGCTGAACCATGGAGGACTATGCGATCTTAATTCCCAGGTTTTTCTTATTAAAGTTCAGGAATTCATGTAAAAGAGTTGCAATATGCATGTAAATTACCAGTTCTGACTAGTGAAAGTATGTAAATTACCCAGCAAAGCAATATCACAGATAAAACTGGATACAGGCAATATAATAAATCAACAGATTGGCAACTAAATATTCAGACAAAATTGCTGTTTCATACTTCGTATTAAAAAGAACAACATGATGGTTGTTAGACAGGCAGTGAAAACCCATTAGCTATCCAAAAATGCTACATTAGCAAAATGAAAATCCTCTCTTGGGGCAATTAACTAAAGTTCCCCACTTTCACCACTAGCTCTCTAAATCAGCGACCGTATGCACTAATGAAGTACAGCACAAGAAACAACAAAATTGTAAATTACACATTTTTATTAACTGAGGCACTAGAGGAACTCTGTATAGACTGCAAAAGATGCTGGATTCTGTATTTCATTACAGGTTGACCATGACGTGTCTTTTTGAACATCTTCTTCCGTCCTTCCTTCCTATAAGCTTCGGCTTTCTCTTTTTGTTCCTTCTTTGCTTGAATAATTGCTTCCCTCTCCATCCTTGCCTTCTCTTTCTTCTCCCGCTGCTTCTCAAACAATTCTCTCCGACTATGCAAACTACTCTTCTTCTTGTTCCATTTGTTCGTCCTACTGCTATCAATGTCTCCATTATCATCCTGCAAAAGTCCTTGCATTATCAAACTCAGTCTATTCTAAACTACATTTAAATCAAAGAAACTTTTCGCGAAAGCACGCAAGGATACAATATAGAATTTGGATTACATGTTTCGAACAGAATCATCTGTCTTTCTCAGCTGCACATTGAGCATTTCATAGAATATGAATAAATTTTTGAAAGAATCATTCAAAGAACAATTATTTTTGGAACTCAATCATGTATAGGCTTTGCTCCACATTCACAAATCCATATGCTATCCAACAACACTTCAAATTAAAAGTAAAATGCTTAATCACTCATCTAATGAACACCATTAACAATTATAGCTTGAAATAGTTGTCAACGTCCAACATAATAGGCCTCAACCCAATTTCAAGCTAGACCGTTCCTCTTGTAATTCAAACGGAAAAAGAAAAGAAATAAAGCAAGTTAATCATAATTAATTAAATTAAATGAGAACAAACCTCTGGGGTCCTTCTCGCTAAAGGAAGATCATTTGCCTGATTTTGTTGCTTTAGTGACTTCTTATACTTGTTAACAAACTTAGCATTTTTATAGAACTCCCTTTTCTTCTCTGAAAAAGATTAAGTTTCCAGCAAACAAGGAATAAGCCCAAGAATGAAAAATTAAAAAAAAGAAAACAGGGAAAAGAAAGACAAAATATAAAATCGAACACCCACAAAGAAAAGAAATGAATTATACTTATTAAGGCGGGATTGTAATGGTTTGTGGTAGATTTGGCATTAGCGAATGCTTGAAGCGAAAGACCAGTTCCTCTTCCTCCCAATCGATTCATGTTCTTTTTCTTCTTCATAGTCATCGGTATTGGGCCCTGCATCTCAATTCCGTCGCAGTTTCGATTTTCGTTAGGCTTCCGATTCTTCATTGCCGCAAAATTAAGAGTCAAAACACCAAGAATTGCTGATTTTAATTGTCTATGAAAACCCTAATTTTGTTTGTTTCTCTTTACAGAGTAAAGTATTTTGGGAACAAAAATCCTCCGACCCGAATCGTGCTCCGTGCGCCGCCCATATATATGCCCCGTGTGAGTTGTGAATATTTATAATTCTAAGAATCCGTTTTATTTTCTTTGTAATGGTACGATGATTATAATAATAATAATAAAAAAAGAGAGAAATAAAAAACTGTTATTAATTTGAAAATTTAATACTATGATTAAAATATAAATTTAATTTGATTTATACTAATGCATATAACATATAGAAAGTATTAGAAATAAATTTAATAGCGTATCCAAGTAATGTTACGAGGTGTCTATAAACATCTCAAGAATTAGAAAACCTAGATAATTTTTTTTTGACATTTAAAAAAAATTGATAAAAAAATTGAAAATCAATAAAACTTAAAAAAAAAAATTCCTCGACACCTTAAAATTTTTTTAGACATATTTTCTATTTATAAAATTGATAAATTTATTGACAGTATTTTATTTATATATTATAAATAAACATTTAAAAAAAATTTGAATCCATCGTAAATAAATTTCACCATCATTATTAATTTTTGATCAAAATCTCATATGATTATAAAATTTTAATTTATATCAATAAAGTCATTGAATTTTATTAATTATATATTAAATCTAGTTAAAATTTCATCCAAAAAATTAATAAAAAATTGACATAATTTTCATATAAATTGTCATACTAATTACCACGTCAGCATTTTTTTTATAACACATTAGTATCTTTTTGATTTTTCAAAAAACTAATTTATGAAAGCCAATTTTCAAAAAAAAAAAAAAATCTTAGTGTTTACCCACAATTTTAAATTTAGAGTGTAGCATGAAAATCGAGCAATTATACTAAGTTATGAATTTGGGATAAAAATAGGATCAAAAAAATTAAAAGAATTAATTACAACAAAAATTATACTAAAGAAGAAATTTTTTTAATAAATGATATGTTTTGTCTCATAAAAAAAAATCTTTAAGATCATATGACACATATGCTTCTAGGAATGTTTATTCTATATAATATTTAATTTATACCAATTTTCATGGACTTACTATCACATTTTGTTTTAAAACTTTGGCACTCTGCACCAATTCAAAAAAGGAAAAAGCCATAACAAAATAAGTTTGACAAAAATCTTCTTGCATGGATATTATGATTCTGTTTTTAATACTAACATTATCATTCTTATTGTTACTATATATAAATTTTTTTTATGAAGTTACATTTAGTGCTTTATAATCAGTTAGCTGTCTTCTTTTTTTCTTTGTTGATCAAAGAATGAGAATTTTTTTTTTTTTTTGAAAACAAGTAAGAATGTTGTACAAGTTAAATATCAATAATGGAATAAACCCTCACACATTTTCAATGTATATATCATCAAAATTTGCTGGCAATAAATCCCATTTAACTACTTGAGAGAAAAAGACACAAGACTTCTGTTATATGAAGATCATTCATCTGTGCCTTCCACCTCATTTTTTCTTCTTCTTCTTCTTCTTTTTTTTTTTTTTTTCCAGTTATTTGCAAGATTATATAATGCTAACCCCATTTCCACTTTTTAACCACAACATTTTGTAAGCATGACAAAGAAGTAAAACTTTTGATTTGAAAAAATTAAAAATGTTAATTGAAGTACGCAATTTTTTTGGTATTTGAATATTTAAATTTTAATGGCTGAGATTAAGAGTTTAATATTTTAATAATAAATCACAAAATTGTTGGCTGAAATTTCCAATCACGTTCAAACATTTTTTCTTATCACCCCAATTTCCATATAACCTCAAGTATTAAACTCGTTTTGCTCATTTATTTAATAATCATTGATTTGACATGTAAAGATGTAGAACTTTTAATTAAACTAAAGTATATATGAGTAAAGATAGATATTCAAGTTAATTGAACTATACTTCAAAAAACTTGAAGACAAAAGGGGCCATTCCCTTGAATTCTATAAGCCAATTTCTGTCTAGCCGGAAAGGCTACTAGAAATTCTCAATTTCTGAATAGCAATTAGTTCATTGCTCTTTTTTGATTAAGGGTTCACACGTTGAGTTCACTTGGGACAATTTGTGATTTGCTAATCATTATCCCTCCATCTTCATTATTCATGATGGCAACTTCTTGAGGCTGAATCATTTGGACACCAAAATTTACTAATTGCTCTACGTGGGGCTTGCTCTCCGCCAACATTAACTCTTTTGGCTTGTTCTCCGGAAAGATTACTTCTTTTCTTCCGCCGCGATATAGCAGATACAGTATCATCTGAGTTATCCCAAAGCTGAATCCCAGAATATTTGGTGTCTGAAACAAAATTAAGAAATGAGATTAACAAATAAGCAAAAGTATAGGTATATATGGTGAAATTCAATGGGGTTGAAGAAGTTGGCTTCTTACTGCTATGTAGTAATCTCTCAATGAAAAGCCATAAAGGAACCACGTTACGGCACAGAGAGTGAGGAAGAATGACAATGAAAACGGCATGTATTCGACACTCTTCGTTCTTATAACTGACCTCTGCAATTTATCAAGTACAAAAAGAAAAAAAAAAGCGTTATTGCATGGTTAAGAAGTTTATAATCTCGTTTATTAGTGTAGCGCTTACAATGATGCTAAGTGGAGCAGCAAAGACACAGACAGAGAAGACGGCACAAATCCACCCCACAATGGAAACTCGAGAAGAGCCTTTGGAAAATATGAATGTGACAAGTATGATTAATCCTAATGCCCCAATGTTGAAAAATATGAGCAATTTTGTCGTGTATATCTGCAAAGTAGTAGCAAACAAAACAAGCTTCTTAGTAGGTTTTTTTTTAAATGAATTTGGAAGAGGAGCTTTAAAAGATGTTATACCCGGGCGCTTTTGGTAGCATAAATCATGTAGAAGAAGAGATAAATGGATTCAACGCTGCAGCCAATGGAGTTGATGGTGATGAGCATGAATGCGTCATGTTTCTTGAGGAAAGCGTAGTAGAGATACAACATAGCACTGAAAAGTGCTGCTGAATATGGTATGGATTGAAAACCTTCTGTTGATTTCTTCTTGAAAATCGTGTAGAAAGTTGGCCTTAATTGGAACAAAGCAATATCGTTAATATTATTCAAATAGATACTAAAAAAATTAAAAAACTGCATGAATACTTGGAAGGAGAGCATGAAAATGGGTAGAAATTAAACCTACAATGGGGCAAGATAAACTAGGAAAGACAAAATATTTCCTGCACAAAAAATGGTAGTCAAAGAATCAGAAGAATCACATACATATGTATTATATAACTAGCTATGGTACTATATACACTTGTTTTGAAGGGAAATTAAATGAAGAGAGGTTAATTTATACCAAGAAGGCCAAAAAGAACAGAGAAGACATGATCGTGGATGTTTGCCATTATTGTTGATGGTGTGAAGCTCTTTCTTTTAGCTTGGGTTTAGGGCAGAAGAAAGAGCTTATATATATATATATATTTATTTATTTATTTCTTTCTTTCTTTGCATAAGGCTCCCAGTCCTATATATATATACACACTCACACACACACGACAGCTTTGAAGTTTCTTTTTTTTTTTTTTTTTTTTTTTTGGCACACTTAACTTGCTTTGCTCATTTGGGTTTGAGCTGTTGATGAACAAACTGCCCCGGATATTTTGTAGTGGGGGGAGGGGGGGGGGGGAAAGAACTTGATGAGCTCAAGGAAGCTTCATCTGATTCTGGGCGTTTTAAATTTCATTGCTTTTGCTTTTGCTCGATTCACTGCCTAATTAAATATTACATATATATATATATGTTTATGATCTCAAATTTCAAGGTTTGAAGTTTCAGCTTATAGCCGCGTATATACTTCAGCTGTTTCAAAGTATAAATAAAGCCCTTGCATTTGCTAAAAGTGAGTGAGTCCCGTGCAAGTGCCAAGTGTAATACCTTGCCAAAGGGCCCTAATATAAGTAGCTACCGTTTGTTTTTTTTTAATGCAAATTAATGAAAGTAATTCTTTGTAAGCATATAAAAAATATAATTATTTATCCTTACTAATGTAATTGAGTGTAACAATGTTGATTTAATATTTATTTGTTTTTCATTTAATTAGTTCACATATCGGAACATTTCCAAAATCGGGAGAAAACATTTTGATTCACCTAAAATTCTTTCCCAATACTTTGGAAGGCCGCTCTCCAAACTATTCTTATGATTTTTTCGCATTGATCAAGTTGTACTAAAACTTATTAGGAAAAATTTTTTTTTTCCAATCAAGCATAAAAAAATTTGTCTATTAATCAAATTTAATTTTATTTATGTCTTATTATGAATAAAAACATAACTTTACACGTACTTGCATTCTCAGCGGATTTGGTATTTAAAAAAAAAAAACTAAAAAAAGAAAAAGAAAAAGTCATTATGAATAATTTTTGAACACTTGCATCAGCATTTCTTCTTCCCTTGATAATATTTGTATTCAAGTACTTCTTGTTTATGTAAGTAAAATTACCATGATTTAAGAGAAAGTAATGTAACTACTTTGAAAAGTGATATTCAACCAAATTTAAATTTAAATTTTATTGCATAAATTTTTTTTAATGCGACAATTTTTATATAAAAAAAAACCAACATTTAAGAGAAATTATGCTGCATGGCATCTATCTTTTCTCCCTGTAAGCATATGTGACTGTAAGCTGCAATTAGATGGGGACGGCTTGAGCCTTGAGCCATTTGATAACGTGCAGCCAATGATGGAAAAGAGAAAGAAAACAATAAAAAGAATAAAAATTAAATGGGAACAAACGAGTTGAGAGTTGTTGAACGTTTGCTTAAAAGAGCTAAGCTAAAAATATATATAAGAAAAGGTTTGTCTAGGGGTTGCTCTTTTTACGTGAGAGAAGACATACCCACCTCACTAGCCGTTACATTTAAACATTCTCCACTTGTACACGCCGTCCGACGCCCTGGCTCTTGCCCCTATTTTGTATTTTTTGATTTATTCTCTTTCATCAACAAACAGGCACCGCTTTTGGTTATTTTCCCAAACTTCAAGAAAGAATAAAAAAATGGCATTTGAGAGATTAATCAGCAACCGTCACATTTTTTTTAAGTACTTCATCTTTGAAGAAATGGGTTTTGGGTTTGAACCAAAAAAAAAAAAAAAAGGGTTTTGGGTGCTGATTTCGCTTGTTTATTACCGTATAACAGTGAGATTTAGGTTTTAGTTGATTTTCGTCTTTTCTCTCAGTCAACAGTTTTGTAATGTATGGATAAAATATTAAATTTTAAATTTTGATAATTTTACTCATATTTCTCTCAACGTGTAATTAAAAACTTAGTAGTCATTTTAATTAATATCAAATTAAAGAAAGAAATTAATCTCTCTTTTGTCCATGAATAAAAGGAGGAGAAAAAATACTAATGGATTTTGATTAATTATAGGTTTCTTGGAGGGCTGAAGCTGTGACTTTGTTCAGATAATTCTGAAATAAAGTTGAAGGGAAAACTAATGTCTTGAACAAATTAAGGTTGAAGAGATGTGTGGCAATGGCTCAAATTCAGGTCATATTTATTAGTGGTAAGCAAAAGGGCAAGACAGAGACAAATACAGTTTCAACATATCTATATGCTTCTTTTTTTTTTTTTGTCCATTTTATCACTCTCACGTAGCTCACCTTCAAAAAGGGTCCAGTTTTAACAATTGCTGGCAGGTGGCTTTGACAAATATCCAACCCAAATATTGGATGAAAACGACAAATAGTTGGCGAGAGTCTTTTCTATCAGGGGAAAACACGTACGATATTCAAAACTTTTATATTGGATTACTGGTTTTAATTTGGTATTGAGCCCTGGCCTTTGTATATATTCTTCTCTTTTGTTTGGTTTTTGCTCAAACAAGGAGAAAATTAATCTAGATTACTATTTGGCTATCGATCACCTTAGAGCTGTAAAGATTTTTGATCTGGCGCCTGATGTTGATCTTGATCCTGGGTTTCTTTTCTTTGGAAATGTTCTGGATCTTGGAATATTGGCTTGGCAATCAGCTAAAACCCTGTCCTAATTGCAAACACTATACTTCTCAAAAACTGATTATTCACCCCAAGCACTTACCTATGTAAATATCTACCACCAAAAAGAGAGTAAATTTTGTTATTGATCACAATTTTATTTTGATCATTAAATTTTAATTTGTCACAATTAATTAATCATTGAACTTAGTAAATTAAACCAAATCTAATCAATTTAACAGATTTCATCTAAGAATTAATGAAAAAAATAATATAATTATCGCATAAATTATCACATCAATTATCATATTAGCATTTTTTTTGCATACCACGTTGACATTGTTAGAAAAATAATCAGAAGGGCTTATGTCCAATTCAATCTTGAATGTTTAGTTTTTGTTTCTATACCTCAAAACAATTATAGTTACTACAATTCCAACAAAATCAAAGCTAAAACGCTGCAAAAATAAAATTAAAAAAAAAAAAAACAAATACAACTCTCTACTTCATTTTGAAGCTATTGAATATCATACCCGACAACTCATACCCATAGTCACAACTTCATCAAAACTCTATCCAAGAATTTGATTTTTCATCCTAATATTATCACCAAAAAAGCAACCGAAAAACAATCTAAAATACAAGGATAAAAAAAGGGCACTCACAATAAGCTGTGAGCAGAAAATAAAAGCAAAAATATTTTTAAAAAAATGAAAGTTGAACTAACTAGTGTTTTGAGTTTTAACTAGGGAGGCAGGAAAGAAAGGATAAATCTGCAAGAGAAGACTCAGCCGTGGCAGCTACGCCTCAGGCCACTGCCTAAATGAGGCCATTTCTAACCACCACAAATAACATTACTCAAATACAGCCTTAAAATCGCAGCAGGACTAGAGTAGAGAGTGAAAAGAGGGAATTGAAATGGTAGATATAGAAAATGAAGAAGGGAAATGCTAGTTGATGTGACGTTGAAATTGTACTGCTGTGATTACATATTTAACAGTCATATCATTTTAAGTTTTTTGCATATAATCTCCTACGTTGATTAGATTTGACATCATCTAAAAAATTCATTGACTTAATTAAAATAAATTAAGTTTTAATGATCTTAATAAAATTTTGGTCAAAGTAAAGTGATTAATTTACTCCAAGCACATGAAAAGCATTGAAACAATTATGAGCCTTTATACATATAAAAAAGCTTTGAATGCTCATCACAGGGATTACAAACAACATTCCTTGTGTGGTAAATTCTGGGTTTTAAAATTTAATGCTTATTTTTTCCCTTTTCTTTTGATAGATCAAAATTTAGAACATATTAGATGTGCTCAAGTATTTGATTCAACACTTGTGTGTATTTTTTATTCAAAGAATTTAGTTTAAGTCCTCTTTTATTCGATGCTGCTTTTATTTATTTATTTTAATAGAAAAATGAAAAGTAAAAAAAACAAAATGAAAACATGAGATATAAAAAATAAAAAGTAAAAGCACCAATGAAATAAAATGAAATTTAAGTGTAATGAAAACATCAAAACACCCATAATGAAGATTATTTTTAAATCCAGCATGCACATGTGATATTTCACTAAAATGTAGAAGCAATATTAAAGCAGGTAGTAAACCGTCCACATGGCATTGCTATTTGAAGTAATGCATTAATCACCGTAGTTTTTTTTTTTTTTTTGGTTGGATCTGGGACAAGACACGAGCTTTTTATCAGAAAATTAAAGGAAAAAAAAGTACGACATTGGATTGTTTGGTCTGGGCATGTTGTTTCTAAAAAAAAAATAATTAATATTCTAATTTTCTATATTCAAGGAAAACATTTTATATTTAAAATTTTCATTTTAAGAGTTGATGAAGAATGTCTTTAAGTTCGTTTGTGAAATTAAAAAATTATATTGGTGATAATATATAAAAAATGAATGTACATTTATACAAAAACAAAGAAATGTTTGTCAAGTAAATTTTCTTTTTGCTTTGTTTAATCTTTCACAGTTTTCCAATTTCAGATATAACCAAAAATCATATAGTGGGCAATAAATGATTTTAGTGCTAACTCTTTAATTATTTTTAGACTGATCAGATTACTAATAACAATTATATAATTAACCTAATAGTGATAATCTGTTTTATGAGTTAATGAACCTAAGTAGCTAGGTTGCATTAGTTGCTCCCAACCGACCAATGGCAAGTCAGTGTCATCGGATACCAAATTGCATTGGTTGGCATGTAATGGACGTGACCTTTTGGTTTAAACTAATATGTATAGTGGCAGCCCCCCTTGCAGCATCCATCCGTCTGTGACCAGCTGATCTATCATGGCGCAATTAAGTAATAATTCGACACCAGCTATGCTGCTGGTGCTCCTGCTGTTACGTACCACATCCCTAACCCTAACACACCAAATTCAGGCGACCAAAGCTTATTGTATTCACTCCCCTTCTTTAATACACGAGCGAAAATGCCCCAGTTGCCTTCAATGCACCCCCAACTTCCTCTTTTATTTCCAACCTCCCCTCCATTTACTATCCCCCTTTTTAACATCTCCAAATTTTACTTTCTATTCCTCAAAAATCCTTCTCCATTTGCTCAACTTTTTCTTCATAGTTTTGAAACAGTGAGGGAGAGAGCTTTGAAACAAACATGGATGGAGTTGGGAGCAATGTGAAGGTGGTAGAGAGTTCAAGGAGAGTTAGATACTGTGACGGGGTATTGAGGCTCCTGGGGCTGCTCCTTACGTTGGTAGCAGCAATTGTGACGGGAACTAACAGGGAGACAAAGACTATTTCTATCAGTATTTCCAAAACTTTGCCCACCTTGCACGTCCCTGTTACTGCTAAGTGGCAATACATGTCTGCCTTTGTGTAAGTTTTCTTATTTTCACTTGCATCGTTCAAGGTTTATGCATGTTACCTGTTTTTTTTTTTTTTTTTTTCTTGCATTTTCATTCTGTTAAACAAATGAACTCGTCTCCTACCCTGCTAACGTATATAGCACATAGATAGTACTCCACTAATGACCATTGCAATTAATTTTTTTCTAGTAAATTTGACTTCACATTTTCCTAGTCAAATCAGAAAGAAAGTTTGAAACTCTATTCTACACATTATTTATCTGCACTTTCGGTCTGCTCTGGCTCCCACTCTTTTGTACATGTTGCCTGTGAGGCCCACGACCTATATATTAAAGCCTGCTAAGCCGTAAACCTTGGATCTTCTCTACATATGGAGGACTCAATTAATAATCTCATGTCCACGAGGGTATATTATCTATCGAAGCAAACCAATTACTAATGAATTTTTAGTCTGAACTCAACATCATAATAGTTTCATTCTGATAAGAAACATATGCCTGATTCAGTCGTATCCTTTCTGTTAGGTACTTCCTCGTATCAAATGCCATAGCATTTTCATACGCAGCAGCATCTCTGGTAGCATCTATGGCAGTCCGTAATTCCAAAGACAAGACAGCAATAGTTCTCGTCATTCTCGACATGGCCATAATGGGGTTATTGTTCTCTGCTAATGGGGCAGCAATTGCTGTTGGGATCTTAGGCCACGATGGTAACTCGCATGCACAGTGGAAGAAGGTGTGCAATTTGTTCGGTGGCTTCTGTCATCAAATGACTGCTGCTATAATCTTATCGTTGGTTGGATCGTTGGTTTTCTTTTGGCTGGTAGCACTAGCCATTCTCAACCTGCACAAGAAACCACGGTAGATGGAATTAAAGAAGGTCCATGGGGAGTCATTGGGGGTTATTAATATTAGCATTCTATGTAGCTGTAGTAGGAAAAAGTTGGTTTGCTGTAGTACATGGGTATTTAATTAGCTTCGGATGGTGTTAAATTCGAAGCAAAGCTGGTTGGTGTGTCTCATTACACCAAATATTGAATATTCTGAATACAGGACGCACAATTTCTCCGACCATTCTTTTATTTGCATGAAATGGTTCTAAAAGGATCCAAGTTTCCTGGTATTTGGCAATCTGCAATGCAGCAAAAAGGGCTAGAAGGAATACAAGGAAAACAGAACTTCTGCTGCGGCCACAAACCAGCATTTCAGTGATCAATGCTAACAACAAATGAAATCCTAAATATTTCCCTGATTTCTGTCTAAAACTTCCAAAAGTTGTACTTCAGATGCTTTCTTAGACTTTCTGCACAAACTATCAGCTTACAAGTAAAAATTGGTTATAGGATACCCCACTCTACATAGCAAGAAACGAGAAATATTCCAAAAGTGAGACAAGCAGCTTTTATATCTAATCTTCAGGCATCATATATAGGTTTTACAATACAATATAACAGTAGAAAAGCTAAACAAAAAATGAAAAATTCATATTTTACAAGTTAGCAACCTAGTCTAACTAAGCTTTAGCTTCTAAGGAAAAGAGAATAAACAAAAGGAAAACATTTTCTAGTTACAAAAATGACCCAAGTTATAGCAATTCCAGTCTCACAGTTGTTTACCAGTATCTCAATGGTCCACCTTTGCAAAACGCCCCTTAATTCTTGTCCTGCTTTCAGCTCTAACCTTTCTTGATTCATACCTGATGTGCTTATCATATCTGTCACATTCCAAAGTAACAGTGTTTGCTCAACAAAATGCAGAAGAATCAAGATAAAATTTGAGAGGTGAAAGAACTTTCATAGATTGACCATAATACTATGACTGACTGCAATTACATACAATACAATATTATGGGTGATCTAACATGTCATATAAAAGAAGCTATATTGGACGACATACATGGCCTCACTGCCTCACAGTTTCAAATAATTAACAATGTATAAAAACCATCCAGAGTGTCAAAGAACTACTTGATCTAAAAGGTTAAGCTGATTAAACTTTGGACAATTAGATTACACAGGCTCTAAAACCAAGTAAAAGAAAATCTCAAGCTTAACAGGTTAAGAGTTAAGGGCTTAGGGCCAAATCAAAAGCAGTCTCTTACTGAAGAGAACTTATAGAACAACAGACACCTTCTTTTACCAAATTCTGTGCCCCAACAGAAAAATAGAAATTCAAATAAGTCATTATTCCGTTTATATCATTGTCATGCCTAATTTTAAAAAATCGAAAATAATTTCATTAAGGCTGCTTGACAGTTGACCCATGTACTTTTTCTATGCTTCGGCTCAGCCCAACTATAGGAAACAAAAGAAAAAGAATCAGTTATCCATCATGTGTTTTACTGCAGTAGCAGAATGCTAAATTAACTTTCACTACCTTCAAGAAAACCATGGAATAGGTAGTTTAATGTGTTTTTTCAGTTAATACTTGATAATACAGATTAAAGATGGAATAATATGAAACAAAGTGAAGCAATACCTTCTTGTTTTCCTTTTCTCCTTGTAGCGTGAGATTGCAGAGTCTCTCTCCTGGCTATTTAACTCATGGACAGCAACCTTTGGAAGTGCTGACATGGTTCCTCCGGCAATTTGATGTTGTAGTTGGTTTTCAAGACTCTCATTCTCATGTGTAGTCCTACTAGAACCTAGATGTTTATCAGGAACCACAGCACTTTCCTCGGTATAGCACCTTAATTGTGAAAAAGGTAGAAATACTTGATCAGCCATCTCAACATTATCACTGAAGCACTGTGGTGTGCTTGACTGCAAGAAGGGACAATAGATTAGCCCTCTATTTCTGGTAAAAAAGTCAAGAAGCCAAAAGTTCATATTTTAAGATGCTCTCTAAATACCAAACAAGTCTATTGGAAAACATATAGTCAAAGCAGATTAAATGCTGTAATCCATCGATTAACATAAACTGTAAGCCACGTGAGACTTAAACCTGAACATATGACAGATTTTTACAGAAAATCCCATTAACCCAAGCAACAATAAATTTGTTTGTTCAGCCTTAGAGACAGAAAGAACAATAATAAGCCTCTTTGCTGACCTAATTGTCAAACTCCTAAATGACAAAAAGGGCCCATAAACAAGACTCTTAAAAGAGCTGCACGTGCTGGAATAGAGTTAATGTCAAGTATCCAACACTTATTATGTTGATGAAGGCTTTTCTTTAAATTTTCCTTCTCTTCTAAAGAAAGTTTGCCACTTTCTCTCCTGACCAGTGGAAGAGATTAAATTGCAGGATTTTTAAAAGATTAAAACAATTTAATTACATCAATAATATCTAGCAGTCTTATCTTCTTCTTATCTTTTTCCCCCACATTAAAGGGGAAGATTATATACCACTATTGGCATCTCAGTCATGATAAACCATCAGCTTTGCATCCTTAAGAATGAAGATAGTTTGCAAATTGTTCAATGTATTGTCCCCATAATGGAAAACATTACTCTCTCCATGGCTAATTTGCAACTTCAACTTCCAGAGTTGTATATAAAATCTAAAAACAAAACAGTGCCACATTCATCTACAAGAATGTTACATATTGAGAAAGGATTACAATCAAGGATGGACATAATATCTCAGAGAAAACGAGAAGAAAAGGAAATGCATACCTCATAAGCCGGAAATGAAATTGGATCTGTATCATTTTTGCAACTTGTATGCACAATTCCTGGCTGCAAATTATCAGTATCAGTTATCCATGGCTGGAATCCAGTAATGGCATCAACATCAGTCTTTACAAAGCTGTGGTTAGGTTCTGACTTTGCAAGGTAACGTAGCTGATGAAGTACCTCCTCCTTATGTTGTCCACAAGAAGCATTACGATTCTGATACAGAAATAGTACACTGAACCATGTTATATGTTCACAATAGTTAAATAGCCAATTTCATCAAATACATAACACCATGAAGCCTCATTCCCCCGTAACAAAATGTAGCAAATGCTAAGAAATTTGCAGCTAATGGTTAACAATTCATCCAAAATTTCTTCGTTGTAATTTCTAAACAACCATATCCGAAATAATGGCAGCAAAACCTCAATAAAATCATGTTGACTAATTGAACTTGAACGTGAAAAGTTTAATCACCCTAATAACTCAAAAGACAAAAACAAGTTCAAATAGCAGAAAATACTACAACCCAACGGATAAACAAAAGAAAGAAACTAAAATATGATTAGAACCCCAAAATTCCAAACTTCACCGAATCTTCAAACAACTATTCGAGAACTCTTCATAAGCATAGCATTCATAAAAAGACGACCTTTTAACTTTTCCTACATGCCCTAACCAACCAACACAGAACCTCAAGAAATGCGAAAGGTTGAAAGAGTCAATTTGATACCTACCTTAGGCAAAGGAGGAACATCCGTAGGCTTAAACCCATGTTCAAAATCATTCGAAACAATTAAATCATCAAAGCCAGAAGTCACAGGAGTTTCCCAACTCAATAAATACAATAACCCATCATCCTCACCATCCTCTCCACAGCCAACTTTCTCTTCACTAAAAAACGGAGCCTTATCACCCAAATCCTCAATCCCAACAAAACTCACCAACTCACTCGCAGAAGGACACCCAGTAAACCCTTCTATGGGCCTCCTATTATGCAACGAAGATGAGGAAAACTTGTGGTTTTCCCAATCACAATTCGAGCAAAAAACACTTTGCTCTGTTTCGCAAAAGATGGAAGCAGGGGAATTGTCACAGGCATCGCAGAGTAGGGACCGAGAGTGCTTGGTGAAAAGTTGGTTGGCTGAGTGAACTTCCCTGTCGCACGAAAAACAGAGCTTGGCGGAGTCAGCTCTGCAATATAAAAGAGCTTTTGATTGGTTACAATAATCACAGAGTCTCCTCTGTTTTGGGTTAATTTTCCGATCCGTCATGTGCGGTTGATAGAGTTGGGTTGGGTTTCGTTTTTGTTTTTGGTTTTAGTTTGCTTGGGATTTAAGAATTGGAAGAATTTATTAAGAAGCAAAGAGAATTTGGGTGCTTTAGCTTAGGAAACTGATGAAAGGTGAGCGTAATGTTATCGTTTCTTTCTTGTTAGACAAGTCTCGATAGGGTTGGCTGATTTTTTTCCTCTCTTCTCTTTAATTGGAGAAAGTGACTTTTTTTAACTTTTATGATCCATATGTCTTCTGGCCCTTTTGGTCGGGGAGAGGTACAGGAGTTTTTATTTTATTTTATTTTTTTAAAAAATAAAGATATATATTTTTTTTACATAAGATGGGTATAATCCAAAGTGGTTAATGTGATTTTTTTTATAATTTTACTTTTTTACTAATGTGGTTTTTTATAATCATATATTAATAATCAAATATTATATTACTGAATAATTAATTAATAAATTATAATTAATTAAGTAATTAATTTTTTTAAGTAATTTTACTTTTTTTGTTAATATTATTTTTTATAATTATATATATTTTTAATTTCACTCATAATTTAATATTATATTACTGAATAATTAATTAATAAATTATAATTTACTAATTAATTAAACCTACACCTAGTGAAACTTGAACCTATAACCTTAAAGTTCTATAGCTTCCACTTTACTATTAACCCAGGCCTTATTAATGTTAATATGATTTTTTTTAAATAATATATATTGATATCAATTTTTTTAATATATTATTTTAAATTTTTGTTTAGTATAAATATATTTATAAATATATATGAACTTGCACATAATAACACTATTAATAATCTACAAAATAAATATATAATATTTTAAAATTATATAAATAAATTTAAAAGTGTAAAAAATATTATCATTACTTTCTCATAATATTTTTAAACATTTAATTTAATCAAATGGTATTTAAATTAATATTTTTTTCAAGTAAATATTAAGATAAAAATAAAGAGGTGAAAAAATTAACCTTGATTTCGTGATTGTTAAACTTAAAAAAACAACACAATTATTTCTTTAAAGATATTGAAATACTTATGAACTTCGATTTGAAAAAATAAAATATAAAGCAAACAACTTACAGTAAAAGATAAGAGAAATTCATCTTTCAAGTGTTATTTTGTTAATTAATTTTATTTTTATTAAGTTAAAAATAATCAAATAATAAAAGATAAATTAAAAATTATAAAATATATTTCATAGTCACGTATCAATTGAAACAAGTTAATCTATCAAAATTAATAGAAACCAATGAAAAAAATAACATTATCCGATATCAAATTTAATATGAAAAGTCATCATTAAATATACTATATTTTAATATAATTGAAACGTATTGATCGATATGATAGGTACAAAAATAAATTAACAACATTGGTAAAATCCATGAAAGAAGAAAAAGAAAAATTGATTCCAAATCAAAATTTTTATGTCTTTTTAAGAATTTCTTAATTGATGGATCAACGAGTTAATAACAAAGAATAAAGATATTGCATTTGAAGAAAAGGAAAATTTTTTTTAAAAGAAAAAAAAAAGAGAAAAACTTAGAAACTTAAAATGCTAAAATATTGAAAAATTTTACTTTTAAATTTTTTTTGGATAAATTATTATTTTTTATTATATTTAATTAAAATTTTAAAATATTACTCACGTTTATTTAAGTATTATTTTTATTGGCATAAAAGTCTTATTTTTATCTAATTAGATTCTTAAAACATTGATTTTTACGTAATTAAGATTTTATTTTTTAATAAAATTTTAGTAATTTTGATTTAATTAAATGAAAAGAATATTTTGAAAAATTAATTTAAAACAATAAAAAGATAAAGAGTTTGTTTGAGAAATTTAAAAAGGCATAAGGATTTTTTAATGTTTTAACCAACTTAAAATGAAATTGATGATTGAAAATGAAAAGAAAATAGAGAAAAAAAAAAGTATGGGTCAGGCACTATAAAGTAGAAGTTTTAGAATGGTAAGCATAAGAATTTGGGATGAGTGAGTGGTGGTGGTCGAGAAGCAGGTTTGCCACTTATTTTTGTCACATTAATGATTTAATGATAAAGATTATCTCCAACAAAATAATTAGGGTAAATGATAATAGAAATATGAAATTAAAATTTTGACATTTTAAAATAAGAAGATATTTTTTAATTAATTTTCTCATATTATCTTATAGCTGAATTTTGGGTCACATCTTGTTTCATATTGTATTAACCCTAGCATTTGACACATGATCATACTCGAAAAAAAATTTCAATCTTTTTTTTTTCATATAAAAACTAAATAACAGCTCCAAAAAAAAAAAAAAAAAGTAAACTTATTCACCAAATCACGATAAATTCCTAAATTCTAGTAAGTGTTACTTCGTTAACCTCTCATGTTTTATTAAAATATTATCCTAAATTTCTCTTTAAAATGAAAAAAGAAGATATCAAGTGCAAATTGCGAGAACTGAAACACAAATAAAATTGGTATTGCCAATTTCAATGAATGGTGCATGATAAGATTGACACAACGATGGATCACGAGACAACATGGATGAACAAGAGCAGAAATCTCACGAACACATGGTCCAAAAAGCAAATATGAAGGAGACTTGCAAAAGGGAAAAACCAATAACATACAATTATCAGCCCTTTCAGGCCTCGGGAAGAGGAACCTTTTTCTTTTGTTTTTTATTTTCGCATTCATAGATTGTGTTCCTGTTGTTGTCTTGTCAATTTCGAATAGTTATTATTTGCTAAACTTGGCCTATCAACCGTATCAACGACAAAATGCATGCTAGAAAGGCTGATAAAATATCAATAGTCAAACTCCACAACTCGAGCCTCATACTTAATAGTGGGTTCAACATCAACGTTAATAAAGGGATGCCAACAACCAACGACTATAAACTTTCCAGCCTGGAACAACACATGGTTCCAGATGACATATATCATCAGCTAAGGAAAAACAACACTTCGTCAATTTTTTGTCTTTTAGGATACGATTGGGGTTCTAATTCGATATCTTTAGCTCTAGACCTGACTCCAGTATCAACAAGCTCATTGGTCTTTTCTTTGTCACTTTAACTAGTCTTTAATCACTTCTATAAGGAACAAGACCTAGAGGGGAAACGAAGGGAAGACAGAAACAACCTTCTTCCTATCAGATTAAAACAACATAGATTAAAACAAGCAGATTCAACAATATGAAATTGCTATAACATCCATATTTGCCAAGTCAACAACTAAAACATATATCATTACTACATGAAAGGAGATACTTGAAGCTCTTGCCCAGATTCATATGAACCCTAACCAGCTCATAAAAATTTCAGTAGTAGTCAAAATAAACAATGAAAATAGATGTAAGAACTAAAGGAAGACGTTTAGTAAGAGATTTTGCATATGAATCAATTATAACTTCAGTATGTATCTCAATGTTTGCTTGGTGTCGTAATCCTGCGGGTGTTATAAGAATTGCATTTTCTGCACTTGAGACCAAGAATATGAAATTGGACGGTGCTTGTACTGTTGCAGTCATTGCAGAGGATTGAAACCTGTATGAAAACCACATTCAACAAATTGAGCAAATATACATGTACATATTGTTTTGACTACAACCTATATCATTGGATTAGCAATTATGTCCATAAGTACAAAGAATGAGGCAATGCATAACATTACATATATATGCCAGAGAAATTCCTTTCAAAGATTATATAGAGCAATGGAGGCTCCATATTATCCAAGGCACTTGATGGGAACATAAATGAGGTGCGGTAGTCAGTTTACTCTAAAAATATGGAACCCTGAAAGCAGCTCCATAGGAATAGCACTAGAAGCCATAACAAAAACTTGCCTACCAAAATAGACCCTGCAATTATTAAAATTTTGTTTGTTTGGTAAGGATAGGTCAATATGTACTACGAAGAATTTCCCTAATCAATTCATTTGGCAAGGGCATCCATGAAAAAGAAAGACTGCCTGCTATTCCTAATAAGGAAGTTTTGTATAGCAATATATCTCTGTTCTGTCCTAGCCTCAGGGAACAGATGGATACTTCCCAGTGGCAATAGAAGCCATCTTACAACTTCTGAATGAGACAACAGATTTACAAAAGTTTGTACATGCATATTCAAGTGATGCAACAATTATCATTGTGCATTTGCTGCAAGCAAACTAAAGGAGAAGGTACAAATATAGGTTACCACCTCAAACCGATACTCTGTGGGCATTGAAGTAGCATCGATCTGTAGACAAAGAACAAGATCACCAATTAATGGCATACAATAATTATAGAAACAGTGAAATAGTTAGTTAATCTTAGAAGCAGTTGTTTTTTGAGTCAAAAGCAAATTAGGACCAGAGAGAGGATACACTTGAGGTCATTTTAATTTAATATATTCCAGAGAAGACTAATAGTCTGAATTTCCATAGTAAGATATATGCAAGCAAAAAATTCTAGATGGGGCTATACTTGTACAGCAAAATCTTTTTTAAATATGAGCTTTTGAGAAAGATCAAATGTCCTTGAAATCAAAACTAAATCCATAGAAACGCCATGAAAAATTCCAACAGATGAACTATTACTAGCACACAAAATGCTGAGGTCTAGTAGAAACTTAATGTACAACTCAATGATAAAAAAAAGAACGTTTATACATCCATATCCAGATCTTTCCAAAAAGCAGTCATATCAAGTACGGCCTTGCAGCAGATGGGACATCGATACCTGTGTCATGGACAAAACCAATATATAAATGATAACCCATTCAAAAAGAAAATAAAAATAATGAGGCAATTAGCAAACTAATCTGAATTTACTGATTTTGCATAGTCATCTGAGAAAAGCAGTCCATGTGCATTGTATGTCCACACTTCAAAATTCTTGTGCTTTCAACTGAGTCAAAAAGATACTGGAAGCATAACAAAAACGTCTTAGAACAACAAAATCTTGTGAAATTTCAAAGAATACTGAATAAAATAGTCAATTCTCAAAGTTCAAACCTCATAACAGATGGGGCAGTAAGACTTCATGGAGTTCTCCACACATAAGTGATTGTCACGCAGATCCACCGTATAGCAAGAACCTGTGCCAGTGATAACATCATAAAAGAAAATGCAATAAAGGAAAAACATTTAAAAAGAATTAGATAATTTTGAAGACAGCACTAATGCTAGGGACACTTTAATGCAGAATGGTAAGATACACGTTGGCAACTTTGTATTTCACCTGCCATAAACAAGGGACTTGATCATGAGGAATTGGGAACTTTCCTATAAAATCAAATGAATTCAAGTAAACAGAATTGATAGGGAATTACCCAAATTCCCTCCGAATACAACCTACCAGGTCAGTAAAGCATTTCCAATGCATATCTGCTACTCTTACCATTCAACAAAACTAATTCAATATCATCACCTCCACCCTCCCTTTCCCTAATTTATGCTTAGAGATGCTCACCATCATTTAACATTTATTTTCATCAAAGAGGGGCAAAAAATTAAGAGAAACAAGTACACAGATGGGTGCCCTATTATTCTGTTTTTCTTTAAGCTTTACATGACACTCCAGCTCAAATTTAAAACTAAGTGAATTTTAGGTATCTGAAGTAACCCAGCTTGGGACACTACAAACCTGCAAACATAAACTCCTAATGGAGTTAGAAACTTTATTGGATGGATCCAGATGTTTTAGAACTCATCTCTTTGACCTCTATGTTTAAAATGATAATGGACAGGCTAGAAGACATTATGGAATTGCAACAAGCCTCAATAAACACTTTGAATCAAGACAGCCATCTAAACAACGGAAAAAAAACTAGGGTTAATATTATGAATGGCCCCTAAAGTATAGTAAAATGTTCAATATAATACCTGAATTTTAAAAATTTGTAATATGGTACCCGAAATATGAGCTATTAACTAAAATGGAACTCACACCTAACGTGGTTAGCTCTAAATGATGACACGTGATAAACAAACAACTTTCTCAGTATCACATTAGTTAACAGATTCATAGTTCAAGTACCACATTAGACATTTTTAAAGTTTAGGTATCACATTGAACATTTCACTACATTTCAGGGCCCATTTGTAACATTATCCCCAAAAAGCAACAATCGAAATAAATACAAAAGGGAACAAATTGGAATCTTATTCACCACCTACTTTGTTGCACTCTGAAAAATTACCACAAAAATGACACAAACAGTAGCAAGAGTAGGATTACAAGGCTTCATTTTGTTATCAGTTTTGTTATTTTCATTTTGCTTTCTTAGATTTTTTCCATGAAATAAAAAGTGAAAAACCGCATCTGGTTAAAATGACCGAATAGCTAAATGGAAATACCAGCCAAACGTAATTGTTGCAAATAGAAATAAAATCTTGCTTTTAATTCACCATGAATATCAACACTTTAACTTGTAATTCAGCTATCTTTTTCCTTCAAAAATCCATAGAAGGAATAGCTTTTGCGCCCCATAAAAACATGCTATAACTTGAAACCCCATACAATTGTATAACAGAAAACACCTCTTAAAATCAATCAGTCAAGAAGCAAGCATGGTAATAAGACTGCATACCACATTTCTGACAGTGAAAGAACTTGTCACGACCACCAACCCTGGAAATCAAAACAATAGTTGACTAGACATAAGACACAAGCAAGTTACCAAAAATAACTAAAACTAAATAAATTAACCCACAACATGCTAACTAACCTACAAATTCCACAATCATTACAATGAAACTGTCCCTTTGTAGTCTGCAACAATCATAACTTAAAATCAGCGTGATTTTTTAAGTACCATAAAATTAAACATAATCGTGCAATATCTTACATCATCGTCATAGAATTTGCAAACATCGCAGAAATATTCTCCCATATTTACCCCACAATGAGAACAAACTTGAGCAACCTGAAACATTAAACAGATGAACTTGAGAGTTGAGACATTTACAGTTATTACAGAATTAAATCAAGCAGGACGTACCTCCTGTTCAGTATTGCAAATTGAACAAATAACCTGGTTGACACATCAATTCCATCCCATTATAAAACAATAATTTTTTTCTTTAGAAGATAAAAGTAAAAAGTTACTAAAACAGGAAAGTAAGTGCCAAATAAAACATACTTGCTTGACATCCTGTCTGACAAGGTCGTGATGATCTTTTGGGTTGCTAAGTGAGTTCTAAATAAAAAAAAAAATGGTAGGGAAAATTAAAAAAATAAGAAAAAGATGTTCAAAACAAGAAGAATAAAAAATTTAGATAATCAAGACATGCTTTCAAATACGTGGATTTACAAGGATAAGAAAAACATTGACATGAAGGAGAGAAAGGAAGAGATTACCGCGGCTTCGTTGTGACAGTGGCGGCATGGGAAGATCTTATTACAGCAAGGAGCACGGATTTTACATCGTCTCTTATAGTGATCGCATCTAAAGAAAACAAAACCAAAAGCATTGATAATTGAAACAAAAAAAAAAGAAAACAAAAGAAAGAGAGAAAATAAAAAATACCCATGTTCGAGTTTTACGAAATCTCTGCTTCTTTGAGGCGCAGATTCAGAGTCTACTGCCATTGATTAGGGCACGAAAGAAAGAATAAAGTAACGATAACACCAAAATAGCAGAATTTTTGGGTTTCTTTTTGGGCGTTTGGGGGCGGGATAGAGAAAATAGAGTCGATTATTTGTAAGCAGGAATTTTATTGGAAACTTGAGCAAGGTTTTCTTGCATGCTGGTTCTATCCACCCCAGAACGATATGCAATTCAATGGCCCAAGGCCGAAGCTCAAAGCCCAATATTATTTGTTCTATCGGTAACTTATTTAAGTTTGAATTGGAGTCATTCTAAAAAAAGAAGAAGAAGAAGAAGAATTGGAGTCATCCTAGCTTTTAAGTCTCACGGAAGAAAAAAAAAATCTAACTTAAAATGGTATCAGTAGAAAGCAATTTCTAAATTTTAGTTTGTTTTTAAAGTGTGAAAAATTGATTATTCCTTCACATATATTTAAAGATGAATAGTAAAATTTACCTATCATCCTCAAGTATATTGATGAATTTGAACATTATAAGTTTGATCCATTAATTACACACAATATTGTGAATGGAATTTTTTGTTTGTGGCAAATATATCATATCTAGTCTAGGCCTAACAAGTATCCTTCTCTACACTTGTATCTTTCGTTTACTTTTTTCATGTGTTGTCCTCCTTTATTATTATTATTATTTTTTCTTTTTAATTAGTTGTGGGCATATTGTGACAATATTCACATGTATCCTATTAAGACATTGTGTTAATTTCAGCATGTAAAATGCTTTCCGTGGAGATGGAGGCATCTTCTCTTCATGATTACTATTGTTTGTTGCAAAAGGAAAAAAGAGTGGAAAATTCTAAATCTAGAGATGTTACTCAATAATGGAACAATTACATTTAGATGTATCACTGTCAGAAGGTAGTTTGCTCGAACATTATCATTACATCTCTCTCTGAAATGCATTTGATTCATCTGTACAATCGTAGCTTATACAAAACGTAAGAGGATGGTTACAGAAGGAACACTGTAACCTGAGTAATCATATTCGAAGAAACAAGGCAGCCCGTATATAGATGAACACCATTTCAAAAGCAGAATCAGACCTTATACAAACTTAAGTATAAATGTGAAAAAGTTGATAACTACAGAGCACGTTTACAGTTTAAAGAATAATACAGCCGCATGAATTCAGCTTCTGCATCTCCTCCTTGCTCTTTTCTGCAATGCATCAAAACACAAGGGCAAACAAGGAGAAATCAGAGGAAGTTTAGACCATCAGACCATAGCTACGGTAATAGATCAAAGAATGTGGCCATTTACTTCAGATTCTTCAAATCACAAGCAACAAAAAAGCAAAGAAAAAGAATTGTGACTGAAACAAAGGAGAGTGATATTATCGGAAAACAGTGGTAGGGATTTGATGGCCATAATCCTTCATGCAATAAAATATATATATATATATATTTATGTATATATATATATGTATTTAGGACCTAGGATTTCTTTCTTCCCCCTTCGAAGGCACGTGAGTTGTAATGGCTAATTTATGCTGTTGCCAGAATCCAAACCAAAATAATAATAAAAAAAACCATGAAATACTGCACTGTACTCCCAAGAGCAAGGGTGACATAGCTATAAACTCATTCACATCTTTATTTAGTGAATAAAACTCAATTGAGAGTCTCCTCTACAGACTGAATACAAAAAAATTTTGGGACAATAGCTTAGGCTCCGTTTGGTTGATGCTTTTGCTTTTTGCTTTTTTGTTTTTTGGTTTTTGCTATTTGTTCCTTGTTTTTAGTTCATTTTGTAGTTTGTGCTTTTCAATTTTCTATTAAAAAAAATAAAAAATAAAAAGCAAAAGCATCAACCAAACGGAGCCTTAATATATAAAGCATCTCGACGTTTGACCATTTATGGGCAATTTTCGAAAAGGTATAAAATCTTGCAACCCTAAGTTAAATCAAACTAGGAAGAACTCCACTTTATTTTTGCATAATAATGCTAGTGCTGAGAAAGAAAAGAAAAACTCAAATAATAGTTTCAATTGTCAAATAACTTGCTATTCCTAAGAAACTTATATAGTAACTAGTAGATCAGTGTCGGAAGATTAAGTTAAAAGTATAACATAAAGAGACAAGGATGGTTTTTCTCATTAAGTTTTGTTAATGGCACAAAGAAAGTAATTAAAATGCATAATGTCTCCAACATGGTTATATGAAATTCCATTGATGACAAATATGGTGTTCTTTCTAATGGTTTTCAATAAATTATCCTTTAATTGAGGAATGGTATGTCTAAAAATTATGACCAGAAACTCTGGTCTAAAGAATAACGCTAATGATCTAGCAATTAGTTGGGTTGCTATTGATGAATATACTAATTAAGCTCATACATCTATAAAAGAAATAGATAGTAAGTTAATAGAAATTTTTGAACCCAGATCTTTTGAATCAGAAATCCAACCCAGATTAATGAATCTTAGATATCTATCTGTAACAACAGGATGAAACGACAACATAGACAAGGCAAGGAAAAAGGAAAAAGGCAAAATAAGCCTTGGGGGCTTGTTACTTAAGTAGGCAACAAAACAAAACGTTGGCCCAATTCAGTTTCTTGATTTTCCACTAGCCTCACAACTACTTCATGAGGTTTATTACAGGGATTGCTTTGTATGGAAGCCTTACTTACAGTAAATGAAAATCACAGAACTTCTTCAATTTTGTTTCCCCTGTTTTTATTTCTTTTCCCTGAGAAGTATGCAGCAGGAACAGATGGGGGGTTTCATAGACAGATTTATGTAATATATATTCAGCAAGGATCTACTTGCCAATCTTGTATTTCATGAAGAAAATAAAGACCTGTTAATTCTCAGCAAACTTAAATGCCACGAAGATTTCAAAAAATACATTCTCCCAAACACATTTTTTTAAGAAAGAGAACTTAACAAACCTGTCTTATTGTTTGCTATAACAGGCTGCACTACCACATGCATGGTAATAACACCAACGGGAAGGTCACCAAATGTTATCCTGGAATCAGCAAGCGTTTTGTTGTTTTCCAGAACTTTACCAGCATGTATAAGTTTCAAATCATTTATTGACTTTGGTGCGACTGTTTTGTCTGAAAATATACAAAGAATCCATTAACTCAGACAGTTGTTGCAGGGGAGGAGCATTATTAAATACATTTTAAATTCAAATTTGTTCCTTATGAACATTCACAAACATGCCCCATACATATATGAGTTCATATATAGTGGCCAACATCAGCCCTTTTCTCCACGCAGATTGGTATCATCAAACGAAAATAAGAGGCCTGTTCTGTTCACATACATGAACATTGTGGTTAAATGAATGTATAAGTTTCAAATCATTTATTGACTTTGGTGCGACTGTTTTGTCTGAAAATATACAAAGAATCCATTAACTCAGACAGTTGTTGCAGGGGAGGAGCATTATTAAATACATTTTAAATTCAAATTTGTTCCTTATGAACATTCACAAACATGCCCCATACATATATGAGTTCATATACAGTGGCCAACATCAGCCCTTTTCTCCACGCAGAATGGTATCATCAAACGAAAATAAGAGGCCTGTTCTGTTCACATACATGAACATTGTGGTTAAATCAATGTTATTCAAATGAGTATAAGCCAAAATGAAAAATTGTTTTTAAACGTACCATGCAGCAATCATCATCACTAAATAGATAATTATTAATGACAGGGCCAGCAACAGACTACAGAGAAAAGAAACCCAAAGCAAAGACCAGAAGACAAAAGATTTGAGCAAATGATCCTCAAGCCATGCTAAGCTCAAAAGTGATCAGACAAAAGATAGAAAAACATAAAAAAAGACAATGAAACTTAGAACATACAATGTTTAATCCAATTACAGATTTCAGTAAGGAGTAAGTTAAGAGCAGGAAACATGTAAACAGAAGCGTATTAATAACCTTGAGGCCACTCAGCAACAATCCTTTGCTTAAGTGTTGCGACAGTCATAGATGATGCATAAGTACTGTGTGCTATATCTGTCCCATCAAAAATGCGGAATTTAAGCTCAATAAGCTGCTCGCCACCCTCAGACATAGTAGTCTTTGTTCTCTGTTTCCCAGCTTGCAGGTCGAATGTGATAACAAATAAACAGTTTTAGTCTCAGAATTCAGTCTCTCTTCATTCACCTACACAATAATTCCCCATATAAAAAACTCAAACCCGTAACCTCTACATCGCTTAAAAATTATGCTTGCAATATTTCATAATCAACTCAATTACCTATCCTAGTTAAATTAGGCAGAGGCACAAAGAATTATACATTTTCAATTATATCAGCTAGAAAGCAGAAAATGTTGAACTTCTTGTTACTGTTTTTTAAGATTGTTTTCATACTCAAGGAGAGAAATACATAATATTAAACTAACCTCAGTTAATCCTCGGAGAAATTTGTTTGGTAAGAGTGCATGTAAATCAACTTCCAGAGAACCTCGCCAATAGAGAGAGCACTTCATATGATCTGATAACTGATAAGATTCCCCAGTCAATAGCTCTAAACCAATGTTCCTTTAACAATATGCAGAATTCAACCTCAAGGACCAGACATATAAAAGAGATAAAAAATAAATAATAATAATAATAATATTCTGATTGGAGAAGAAAATTGAAATCAAACAACAACATTTCTATCAAATGTCTAATAAACCAACAGAACAAGAAAGTCTGAAAAGAAATGTAATTAAACCCTAATATAAATTAATTCAGGTAAGATTTCCTATTTTCCGTTCCTCTTTTCCTTTTTTTTTTTCGTTTTATCAATTCATAAAACTGAAATCACAACAAACATGGCTTTTTTCTCTAATTCGTTTCCTTTTTTTTTTGTCAAATTTTCTCACCAACCAACCGAAATATTAGAGAATCAAGGAAAATCATCGGAGAATGATACAAGATCAGAGAAAAAAAAAGAACAAAAAAAATCGGGAGAGGGAATAGAGAAACTACCTGATCAAGAAGCCATTGATGGAAGATAGAGAGAGTCGAATTAAGCAAAAGACTTTTTCTGGTCACTGTGTCGGTGTTGGATCGAAAAAAAAAGGGGAGAGAGAGGATTTCGTTATTTTTTTGGTAGTTAAAAACAATTTTCTTTTTTTTTTTTTAATTCTTTTCCAAAAATCTCTGTGATAAGATGTCAAAAATGGAAATAGATAAAATGGTCCACACCCAAATTTATACTACTATTACTACTATTTTACAGGCTCAATTATCCTGAGGATAATGAAGCTCCTGAATTTTCCATTATCTGCTTGCCACGTCAAACCAAAGATTTGCCGGAATGACTAAATTAACCTAACTTTACACGTGGCACCTTTGCAAGCGGCTTCTAGTATCATTAAGGCGGTTACCAACAAATAGAGAAAAAGAAGGTGGTCGTTACTGTTAGTTATTTTCCCCGGGAGACAACCCGTTCAACTTTTTTTTTTTTTTTCAAGCCAAATCCAAGAAATATAGGCTGTGAATCACATGAACTTTTCTATTATCAGAAAACATCTTCATAGAATTGAACAGACCTCAATTTAAATCTATCATTTGAAAGCGGCAATTTAAGCTAGTAGAATTTTTTACTTTGATCTTCCATTAAAAGAGTAATAAACTAATAATCATTAAGCCCAGCAACAAGAAGAAAAAAGAAAAAAGAAGAAAAATCTTGACTAGAATATGGGTAAAACAGATGCAAAATATATAAAGCAATTTGGGCCAAAGAAAGTAAGGGAGTTCCCATGTCAATATTTATAGCAAATTACTGGCCTCTGCTGTCAACTATCAAGTTTTTTTCTTACATAATAATTGAAATGTTTGGTCCATTAGTACAGCTTGGTCATTCCTGTAAAGCAAAGAGAGAATATAATCCAGAAGATGGTGACTGTGACACCCATGATGCGATTGCTTGTTGCAACCCACCAAGGGAAGTGAAAGTGGGTGGGCAGATTAGAGAGGGAAAGTTCTTTCCTTCACACAAAGCTTTATCCCCTAAATAACCAGATCTCTTTTCCCTGCTGCTGCCTTAATCATTGTGATATGTGTGAAACATGCACTCATCTGTCAAGTTGATAAACTTGAACTGATATCCTTCGACTCTCCTAGAGAGGAGAACTCTTGCTTAGGAAAACTTATGCATAGGAACCAGAGGGAACACACTTAATGAACAAGTTGAGACTGTGGAACGCTCTCATTGAGCTTGATATGGGATAGAAACAATGAAACTTGTTTCAAAATTCAAAGGTGCTACCCTCACCATGCAACAAGAATGTTGCATCATAGAGTGAGTCGTTGAGATTACACAGATAGACTTAATAAGAATATGGATTGCAATCTAACTTCCTACAAGCATAGATGATGAATAATTTGATATCAACTTGTAGCAGTTTATTCATCCAGTAAACATTATGTTTCAATCTTTTAAGGATCTGAGTTATGAAAGCTTCCTGGCTCTGGTGTTTATCCAGACAGGTTCAGTTGCATGATAAAACAACTTCTTTGATTTGTAGCTTTGCAGAAAACAGACACCTGTCCCCTACCCAACCTTGCCACAGCAATTTACAAACATTTCCTTCAATCTTGAGAAAAGCAGTTGAAATTTACATTAAGGTTTAGTGACTAATTGGATAATAAATGCCATTATAGTGAAAATCAGGACTAAATTTGCAGTATCAAAACACAGGTCGGTAGGTAATGTCTGATGATAGTGCAAAGTAGTCAAGCGGTCCATCCTCTCTTTTTGATGATAAAAGATTCAAAAACAGTGGAAAGGTCAGAGCCCCCACAGAGCACGATTAAGACTGGCAAGATTGACAATTAGAAAGCTGATAAGTTCCAATATTTGTGATTCCCTTCGTAGGACTCCACCTTCATTGATTCTGCTTTTGGCTTCTTCGACAGCATTCATATGCTTGTCTCCATATACAATGGAGGAATCCACTGAAGACATTATTTGCAGCATAATTTTTGTTTTTCGTTCACTTTTGTCTTCTGGATTGATAGAATAATGCAATAACTAAAACATTTATAGCCATGTAAATGATCAGTTCAGTCAGGAAGATCCTGCTCCATATGTTATGTAAAGTGGCGGGGACCAGTCAATAAAGCCGAATTTCAGTGACTGAGACTTGAGTTGAGATGTCATAATCTTACCGCCTTCATGATTGTTATGGGCTTGTTTAGACTAATACTATATTCAGCTGTCATGCACATAGTAGTTAAATTATTTGGTTGTATTTACAGTTTCCTACATGCCAAGAGCAAAAATGACCACAGGCTGCATTTGTTTATATACATAATATACGTAATTGTCCATCTTTTTTCTCCTTAAGAGAGATGGCTGTGTTGATTTGAATTGCCAACATTTACGTGGAATTATCCTCATTGAAGGTGAATTGTGAATCTCTTTATTCTGCAACAAGCCTGTCCACCTCAGAATCGTTTACAAATATTGCTGAAACATTTGAACCTAAGCTGTAAATACTACACCAAATAATGCTGGACCCCAAATTTGCAAATTAATTCAAAAGCACCTTTGCTTTCCAAGACCTTTGCAAGTTTGTCTCAGATTTGAGTTAACTGAGTAGTGAGCACTACTATTCAATGTGCTAAAGGGGAGAATATTTGGCACATTAAAATCGTTAATGCCATGGAGATGCTAGCAAGTTTTCTACTGATATATAGCATCAGAATTTACTAAAGTTTTTGTTGTAAAGTCTGAGGTGAATTTTTCTCCCATTGATATCGACTGACTACCACTTGTCCACCATTGCAGAAGAAAAAGAACAAAAGGCAAAGGAATGTAATACCTTTCTTTATCTAAGATAAAGTGAAAGAACCAATGGTAGCAGACAACAGAAAAAGTTTAGAATTTTCCTTTTAAAACCCCCTTTTTTTTTTTGCATGTACAGGAATGCAATGGGGGTTTCCAAAGTTGAGGAGCTCAACTCTGGTTAGGTCTTGGGGAGTTTTTCTATTTTTCAGACTACTATTAGTATTTCTTATGTATTGAGAACTGAAAACTATTTTTCAATTGTTCTTAGGATGCGTGTATGGAAAGATTGATCATGGGAAATTTTAATCATGATGCTTCAATATGTAAAAGCCAATCACTTTATCACCAGTATCTGGCATGTTAAGATCGTATGGACCATTAAATAAAAGATGGCATAATGCTTTGCAGAAACTAAAATAAAGTTTATTCAAATTTTGGTGTTCAGAATTGAAACACACACTCAACAATGATGTTGTGATAAAATGGAATATCTGTAGATGTACTTTTCAGGAGTTGCTGCAAGAATGAGAAGTTTGTTCATGTTTATATAATTTACATTTGTACATTATACAAATGGCTTCACAATTGGAATAATGAATAAACTAATTGCATAAAGTAATTCCAATGAATGAATTAAGCATCCGAATAACATACAGTAATCATTCGAATTCTCTGAGAGCTCGAAAGCAGAAAAGTATATAAAGTTAACTTCATTAAGAAATAGAAATAGATTACATGCTAGAGAGCTAAACCCAAAGCTACAGAGCACATGAGACGTAGAAAGCTACACAGACTACACAATACACAGCTCATGACTAGAGACTACTGATTTGAGCCAATTTTATTCTTTCAGTGTGATATTGAAGTACTTAAATTTAACACAAAGTCTGATAGGGCTTCAGCAAAGGTATCAGCCCTCCACCTAGATGGAGGGACATGACTTCATTGGTGGAACCCACCAGCTTTCCACCAATGAAGACAGCTGGAATAGGCGCGTTACACCCCAACCTCATGAGAGCTTTCTCCATTTCCCTGCCTTCAGGGTCTTCGTCGATCTCATGAATCGTAGGGGTAACCCCAAGCTCTTGAAATAGAATTTTGACTGCATAACACAAGCAACATGAGCTCTTGCTGAATAGCACTACCCCTTTCTCCGAGGCCAATCTCATCACCTTGTCCATGTTGAAATCCTGATTGACAATGTTTGCTTAATATGTGCCAAGTTCTGTAGTGAAGACAGTAAATAACATGGGACGAAGAAAACGTTTTTAAGTTGGCGAAGTCCCTTGGTTAACTGTAGATTTCACTTAAAGCTTAAAGACCTCGGGATCGAATTCAGACTGCATTCGATCCAATGGTAGCGGGAGGTTGGACTTTGAGAAGGTGAAGTAGGAAAGAGAGAAATGGGTTCAAAGCTTAAGGTTGTTGGAACTTAAGCTCCCATGCTAGTGTATTTATAGGGACAGCATAGAGTAGACTCCTTAGTTTGAACAAGAACATTCAAAAGAAAATGTTCTTTACCTAGATGCTAAAACCAATAAAGTTACTTTATGGGATGAGGACTACTGTGTTTCATGGGCTCAACAAGTTGGCAAAAACAATTTGCTGCTAAATATTGCTTAAACCATATTCAAAGTGATTGACTGTCAGCCTGTAGCCATCTGATATAAACACTTCTGAATATAGATGGTTCTAAATAATAATCACGTAGCAAGATTCATATAAACTTGATTCAGCGACCTACCTACGTGGTAGCCTACTAACCATATGTATCCAACTTTTTTGGTAGATTTTATGGACATGAATACTTTCTAATTTCTATCAATATGTAACAAAAGTAGAAAATTCTGAGGCTAGCATGTCAATTTACACCAGATTCTCCCAATCAGAGAGATTGCGAATGTGATGGCTTTCGGTGGCTGTAATTCTTTCTATTGCGCCCACCAACTTATATGATTCTTCCCACATGTGAGCACACATATAGGTTGACTTCATGCATAACGCTGCTTCTCTTTCAGATAGCACCATCACATGTGCGAGTGAGCCTGTGAATGGTGAAATACGAACGGTCACACGTGCAATGACAACAACTCTTCATCAAGGGTGGGTCAGCATTCTACATTCTCATGCTATCTTACTGCAAAGAATATAGTAAGTAATTGGCTTTACAAAAAGTGCACATTGTAGAAGAGTATCCATAAGTACAGTAAAGGCACATGTTTGCAAAATCATGAATAATTTAACAAATGATATGTTTATGTATATCCATACATACATAAATGTTTGTGCATGTGGATGAGTATCCATGCATCTAGGAACTTCCTTGCATAACAAAAAACTAACTTTTTGGCCTTTAAGATTTAGATGGGGAGGAATAGAATGAAAGCATAAAAAGTTCTGGCATCACCTTTTTGTCTCTCAGATAAGGCCATATACACAACGGTTGATATAAAATCATTAACTAAACTTGCCAACTGATAACGTATATCTCATATGCCAAGTGTCTTGTCAATTGGGTGACAGGGCCGGAAAGGAAGGAACCAACTAATTTGATGTCATTGTTAAAATTAATTAGCACCTTAAAAAGAAGCACTGAAAATTTGCAATATCCTAAAGAATTTCATCAGCTTGATGTTGCTTCTGCAATTGTCTATTCATGAGCAGGGGTTGCTTTTTGTAAGTGTATAAGTTTTCAGTTGGAACATTTTTTATTACCAGAAGAACATTCATGTATTTTGGTTGTGAAAACTTTATTCTATTACAGTTTAGCTTGCATAGAAGAAAATTTTAAAATATTCTTCAGTGGGAATTCCATGAACACCATCTGATCCTAAACTTGAATCAAGGCCTGGCATTTATGTCTGTTTCTGATAGGAAAGAATCCTACAAAGTGAAATGCCTCATTATATTCATAGGTCTGTTTCATTATGTTATCATATCCATGGAAATGGAAGCAGTCACCAATAAATATTTAAGATTCTATGTACTATAAACTGTTTAGGCTGTTCTCAAGAAGTGTCATGTTTTTCATACAATGTATTCAAGGAACTCAAGAAAAAGCAAAGCCCCTAATACAACATTTTCTCTTTCGGATTTATTTTCACAGAGTACTTAGTTTGCCAATTTGAGTAGGCAAGTTGCTTTTATCATTGCTAGAACCAGATGGCCTTTGCATCTATGAGCATTTGTTTCAGTGATCCGTCTACATGAAGGGATATGACATCCTTTGCCGAGCCTACAAATCTTCCACCTATGAACACAGCTGGGACTGAGGGATCACACCCTAGCCCTCTTAGAGCCCACTCCATATCTCTCCCACTAGGATCATGGTCAAGCTCATGAATTGCAGGGCTAGCGCCAAGCTCATAAAAAAGTGTCTTGATGCTATAGCACATGCAACATGAGCTCTTAGTGAATATCACAGCAGCCTTCTTCGATGCCAGATCTCTTACTCTGTCCATTACGACAAGCTGCTTTCGTTGATTTTGTTAAGAAAGGAAACAAATTCAATCTGAAAAATTAGAAAGTTACAAACAATGCAGCTAAGTGGCAAAAGAAGCTGAAAAGATCTAGCAGAATTAAGCTTGAAAGAAAGGTGAACAGGCAGACAAGTGAGAAGGCTTATTGTAGGAAGCTTAAATGTGCTAAGGCTTAGTTCTGGTGGACTTTGAGATTTCATCATCTCTTATTTATAATGCCTGGGGAGAGAGTTGGATTGCATTGTTTAATGCAAAAATAAAAGAACATAACAAAAACAATGCAAAAGGATAAAAAGAAGGAAGTTCCTTCAGATATTTGTTTGGATAAGAAAGACCCTCCCCCATGATTTGTTTGATAGTGACGACCCTGTATGCTATAAACAAGTTGAAATTAGCATCAATCATCAGATTGCTAAATTAAATTTCCTGGATTGTCCGTACAAGTTAATTGTCCTGGGAATATAATCAATAACTTAATCTTTAAACAGTAATGAGAAACGCTTTCGGCTCTGAATTACTATAAAATATTATTACAAAAATGATTTAAATGCAACAACGGAGACAAGAAGAATGGCACTTTAACGATATCAAATAGTAAAGTAGTACCAATAATACATTAGAATTTTTTTCACTGTAGTCAATTTGAAATGTCAATGACCTGAAATAGAATCACTACTTTCTGAGTTTGAGACATTTATTTTATCTGCAAATTTTTTAAGTAGCATGACAAAGCTGATAATAACTGAAAAAGTTTCCTCACCCACCATCAAAATGCCATTTTTCCTAAAGTAGAGGATAATCTTATTTCATGGATTGAGATGCATTTAAGTTTTCAAGTGATTATTATTAGATGAAAGTTGCAAGAGTATGACCAATTTCGTGAACTGCCTTTTTCTTTTGGGTTTCGTGTTATTTTTTGGTAGCTTGTCATGGTGGAATAGGTTGGCTGATGTGGAGAAAGATAAGAGTTTATCCAATTCATTCCCACTTTGCTGCATTGGTCCCCCTCCTCGTATCAAAATTCAGGGTACATAAAACATCAAGAAAGAGGACAAGGGATTTGGGTAAAGCAAAATGTCATGAAGAAAGTAATGCATGCACAAAAGGAAAGATCAGTTAACAGCAGAAAATTGCAACATCTAAATTGTTTCCTTTCATTTTAATGACCCTTCCTTAATTCACAAAGTCAGGCTCAAAAGCAATAGATATTTTGCACTTCTAAATGACTCTCAAATGAAATGGCTAAAACTTTAAGACAATTATGTCACAGTTCATTCTTTTAATTCCTTTTGTTAGCTTCAAGAACACATTTATTACTGATTTAGATAAAAATAAATAAATAGATTGGCTTTGTGTTGTCACTTGTGGGAATATTTTGAGGCTTATCCATCGCTTTAAATTGGAGGGATCTATATATATTGTCCTTGCAAAGATGGCAGAGCACACTTTAGCAACAGTTGAATGGAAAAGCTATAAAGAGAACAAAAAACAAGACCACCTAGCTACTTGGCCCTTCCATCCGAATCTCCATTTGGCTAGGCAGCAAGTGCATCTTCTTTGTTCTGCGTCATCGCTTTAGCATGCAAGAATCTTTGTTTTTTAGCTCTCAGACTCACCACATGACACGTGCTCGTCGCACACTTCTCCGCTCCCTCAGATTATTATACACACACATATATGCGTGTATACGTGCATCATCATTATATGATTGTCGTAACAATGATCATTCCTTGCATTGAGAAATATTCATGGCCTTGATCATCCATGACATTTACATATACATATGTACACATTATATGTAACCCTAGAAAACAAAGATTCTTGAGAGGACAACGAGGAACCTCCGCAAAAACTATTGAAACAGTTTGAAGTAACCTTGAGCATCAATAGTAAAATACACACTTATATATCACATTATTTTTTCTCTTTATATACAATCAAACAATTTAATGTATCGTCAAAACTGCAATCTATTTGAGATAATTCGTTTGTAAATTCATTAAATCGAATATTTGTAGGTAATTTAAAAGATGAATTATACTTTCGACTATGATCTAAGTATGTTTAATCTATTAAATCTATTAATCCTCTATATCTGACAATCATCAAATATAACAAAGTTCCCAATAAAAAAAGCGAAAACAATTAAAATCCAAAGATGAACACCTATTTCAAAATTTGGAATCCAAAAGACAAAAAAAAAAAAGGGTAAAATAAGAACAATCTAATAATAAAAAATTAAAAAGCAAATTTTAAAAAATAGGGATATAAATGACCAATGCAACAATACCCCGTAAAATATACAATAAATAACCACATAAATAGCACAAAAACATAAAAGCTAAAAAACTTTAACAAATTATCTAATATAACAAAAACACCATATTCAAATAGTAGAATGGAGTCTCAGTGAATAGATGCATAATGCATAATCAAAAGCAATTCATAAATGTTCAAACCAACCCATATGCTTCAATAAACAAAAAACAAAAAAAATTCACATATCGAACAAACCATCTGAACAACAAATCAAATAATAGTGACAATTTGAAAAAAAACCACAACACCAAAAAAACTCGCCTGCAAAAACAACAAAGAGAATGAAAACATTCAATACAAAGAAACAAAAATAAAAACTAAGAAAACCAGGTAATAAACTATCAATTACATTACGAGATAAAAACATTAATTATAGTTTGAATAATGAAAAAAATGCGAATTGTCAAACAAATTGACTTCAAAACAATCACAGAAAAGCAAAAAAATATGGAAACTATACCAACCCTTACACAAAATATATCATTTTAAATTATAAAATAAATAAAGAACAATAAAACTCGACGATCATACATATAAAATCGACTGAATCACTTAACAACCTTTGACAAAATAAAAAAGTGAGAAATAATAAAAACGCGAGAAACGAAAGTTACAAAGATTAATGACAACAAATTAAAAGAAAATGAAAAAATAAGTAATAACTTAAGAAACCAAGGAGAAGAGAGAAGTTACAAAAAAAACAAAAAATCGAGAAAAAAGCAATAAATCATGGGAGACATTTAAGAAAAGGAATCTAATAAAAAATGAGATTTTGATGAAAAATAACATAGCGAAAAAAAAAATCTCAAATGAGAAAAATGAAACAATCATCAAATCAAGAAACAATAAAATCAAAAGAGAAAGAACAAATGAGCATCGAGAGAGGAGAGTAAAAAACAAAAAAAACAAAAACCAACGAAAAAGAAAAGAAAGCGAAAAACTAGACAAAGAAAAGCATAGCAAAAGTATTAACATGTAGCTAAACCAAAGTAAAGTCAATAAAAAGTCGAATTTAACAATTTTATGATATCAAAATGTGATTTTATTTATATCAAACACTACATTTTTTATATAAGAAATACAATATTTATGGTCAAAGACTATGTTTCCTACATAGAAAACATAGTCAAAATAGTTTTTAAAATTTTACTTCTTATCTATCATCAATTACATTTTGAAACAAAAAAACATGATGCTTGATAAATTATCATAATTTTTATTTACAACAGCTACATTTTTAAGCATCACAAATATATATATATATATATTTTAAATCACATCAATTATTACGTTTCTCTCATAATAAAAGCTATTTATATAAAAAAAAAATTGTTCAAAAAATACGTCATTAACATAAAAAAAATAGCCTGAATAATTTTAAAATCTAATTTATTATTAATTATTAATTACATTTAAAAAAAGGTATCTTTCGATAGATTATTAATCACATTTTCAAAAAAAAAAATGTGATCTTTGTCATCAAAAACCATATTTTTAAGTATCATGAGTATTTTTTTAAAATTTACATTAATTAGTACATTTCTAAAAATTAAATCAATTATTACATCAATCAAAAAATAAAAATTTATTTAAATGTTAAAAATATATATAAAAAATTTTTGGCCAAAAATATAAAAATATAAAATTATTTAAATATAATAAAAATATAAAGACTTATTTAAAAAAATTGAAATAGTTTAAAAGGTTTTTTAATCTTTTAACAATATAAGTGTATTGAGCTGACAAAACGGAACTTTTAGCCCAAACATTTAATTGCCCATCTCAGCCCAACAAACTTCTCTGTTTTTTGTATTTTTTTAAACCTTTTCCTGTAAAGTTCCAATATAAAATAAATATATGGGCTTTTTTTTTTTTTTTCAAAGATTGATAGGTTCTATTTGTATGCGAAAAGATCCAAGCTAACTCAAGCGGATTCTTTGCTCTTCTCTCTAGAGGTTTGATTTTTTATTGTATTTTGTTTATTGGTTTGGGTATACTAGAAAATTGAAGAAACTAAAGAGAATTATCAGTTAATGGTATGTTTTAGTTGCTTTGTTTTTTGTAAAACTAAACTCCTCGAATATAATTTTCAATTTTAAGCTTTTGATTAGTTAGGATTTATGTTAGATTGGGATATGAGGTTAGGTTAATTGACTGATTATAAATGAAAAGTTAGATTTCTGCTGGTAGTTGCCGTTTAATTTCAACTTAGTTCATATTTGAAGGGAATAAATTGAGCGTTGTTTTTGTTCTAACTTTGGTTTTTTCAATCGAATTTAAGATTCTGTTTAATTGGTTATTACTCTTGAAATTTCATCAATAGAAACAATTCTAAAAATTTTAGCAAATCATTTAGAATTTCAGAAAAAAAGCTGCGTATCTGAGCATTTTTTTTTCTTAACTTGATTGAATGAAAGTTGGAGTTATATATTTAGTATAAAGGCATCAAGAAGTTTATGTTTGCAAAAATGTCAGCTGTCTTCATGCATAGGTAGATTATCTATTTTGTTTTTTAACTAACCATGTTCATATTGGGAAAGATGAGAAGGCTATTTTGCCTGTTTAACTGCATCCTCGTGGCTTAGATAGGCACAGCTGTTGTTTGATTTTAGCATGTTATTTGCATGTCACTGTTAGTTCCTCATCGAGCGAGTTGGATGTCCTTTTTTTTTTCTCATATTTTCAAGTTCAAGGTTACCATTTCCTCTATGTTATCATCTACCATGATTTTATGTGTGCTCAGATGGCAGATGTTCAAGACATAGATGGCAAACCATGTGAAGAAAATTTGCCCTGTTCATCTCAAAAGCAGGAAACTTGTGATGAAATGCTTTCTAGACACAGGTAATACGATCATCTTTAATTTACGTTTTTGACTATTCCTATAGTTTTATTGATGGTTTTGAACAGTTGACTAATGAGGGTTTCCTGCTTTTCTTTTACATTTAATCTTTTTTTATTAATCTGGATTGTATCCTGGCACAATGCAGAAGGTTAAAAAATAAGACAAAGGTAGTTGCTATTATTAAATAAGGCTGATATGTAAATATTACCATGCCCTGATAATTTGTTTTGCACAAAAAACTGCATTTGCTTGCTAGGATTTAGCCTATTGCATGTTTAGTTGGGATTAGTTTTTCAACTTAGTTACTATATGTTTTTTTTTTTTTCTAAAATAGTTATTGTATATTCCACAGGAAAGAGATATCGCAGCTTCAGAACAAGGAAATTGAGCTGAAAAAGGCAGCAGCAAGGGGTAGCAAGGCTGAACAGAAGGCTAAAAAGAAGCAGTTGGAGGAAGAGATCTCTCGGCTATCTACTAATCTTAAGGAAAAGCATGCTAAAGAGCTTGCTTCACTAGGCTACAGTGATAGTAATGGAAATGATAAAAGCAATATTGACAACTTGGTGAAGGCCATAGCTGGGGTGTCTGTTGCCCCTCTGCAGGATCACCCAAAGCCCAGCAAAGGTGCAAGGAGACGAGAGAAAAGAGCCCAGCAAGAAGCGGCTAGAGAACAACGAATTCAAGAAGAGCAGAGCACCATTGTGAGTGACAGAATGATTGAAGATGAGAAATTGGAGAGAAAATTCGAACCCCTGGGACTCGTAATTAATGAAATAAAGCCAGATGGACACTGCCTCTACCGAGCTGTTGAAGATCAGCTGGCCCTTCTGTCTGGAGGTTCTTCTCCTTATACATATCAGGAGCTACGGGAAATGGCGGCTGCTTATATGAGGAAACATGCATCTGATTTTCTCCCTTTTTTCCTATCAGAGAATACCATAGATGGAGATTCTGACAATTCGCTAGCAGAGAGATTTGAGAACTACTGTAAAGAGGTGGAGTCAACTGCTGCATGGGGAGGACAATTAGAGCTTGGAGCTTTAACTCACTGCCTGAGAAAACATATCATGATATTTTCAGGATCTTTTCCTGATGTGGAGATGGGAAAGGAGTACAAATCTGATGGAGGGTTCAGTTCATCTACGGGGACCATCCGGTTGTCATATCATAGGCACGCCTTTGGGCTTGGAGAGCACTATAATTCTGTCGCCCCAAATTTGATCAAATAGTTATAATTTAGTGATCCGTGAAAAGTTCCTTTATATGTGCATGTTTACAATATGATGTTTTGATGGAGCAAGCAAATGTTGGCTCTAAACTAAATTTTGAAACTTTGGTTTTGACTGAAGCTAGTTGATGCATTATTATCCATCTTATTTTCGTTGGACCAGGTAAATGAACTACTAGAGGCGCACTAGTAGGACGGGCCCAACATATAACTCCGGGGGCTGAATACGGGGCCCTGTCCTTTAGGATTGGTTGGGAGCTGAACCCTTACGAAGTTCAAAAAGAACTAATACTAAGATTAGGAAATCAGCCCAGACGCTTTTCTAGTTATTACTTAAATATAATTAAGAAATTAACCCCTGCAGCTTTCCTTGAGCCATTATGTCAAAATTGATAGAAGAAATGCCAGAATGGAATGGGCTACCATTTACCCCGGACCACGGTACAGAGAAAATATGATAACAGATTGACGATTACAAAAGGGAGAAACCAAGAAACATGTGGAGGCCAAAACCACATCAACTTTCACGCACAAAGACAAAAACCATAGAATAGTGAGGCACGTGGTCGAAGAAAAAAGGAAGAAAACAACTGCTCGATCAAGATCATATGCCATCCCCTGCTGTCATCCCCCTAGGGAATTTTGGTGACACTAGGATTCAGCTGGCAGATCAATTTGTATCTGAGGAATAACTTGGCTTCATCAACAACAGTAAAAAGATGATTAGTCGGTTTGTCACGTGTTTTTGCATCTTATTTTACTACTAATTGGAAATCTTCGTAAATAAATGTTCTCCTAAATTAACTGATTAGATTTGCTTCCAGAAAAAGCATATATTGTAGGCAAAAGCATGCAACTTGTTAATATCTTCTTTTCTCTGGATATTAGAGTAGGTTTTTAAGTTGTGACAAATTAAAACCATTAATTCGAACAAACACTGATTCAAAAACCTTGATATAATCCATGTTGCTGTGATTTCCTTGTTCTTTTTTCTTTCTTTCTTTTTTAGTTCAAGTACTAGAGTACTACTACATGCATGAACAGATGAATCCACCAAAGTTGACTTTTCCCAACTATCAGTTTCTGTACCATTTGTACTTCTTATGCTCCTTGTAACTCTCTATCTCTCTTCCATGCAAATCAAAGAATATATATTTGTGATGGAAGTATTGCCTAATGTGCTTAAAAGGAATTTCAACTCAGCAAAAAAAAAAAAAAACCAAAAGAAATCAGAAAAAATCTCTGCATAGGAAAAGGAAAAAGTCGATATCTTCACATATTCTTTGATAAATATTAGTAGCATATTGATCAGTTCATGCAGGTGCTGAATGACATGACTTCGTGCAGCTATATCTAAATCGATCGGTAATCACATTATCTCTACCACAAAAAAGAGGAAATTTCAAGTTCGTATATCTGTTATCTGAAATTTAACTCTGAAAAAACAAGAAAAATATTACGTAAAAATACATCTATTCTACTATATATTCAAAGTCTAGCGAAGAGATATATATATGTTATGGTTAGTTAAGTGACATGCCCTATTTACTTTTTGGTTGAAGAAAGGCTGCTGATATACGCGGTGATATCTGGTATTCAAAGACTATATATACGTACAATGCCTTTTACACTCAGAAAAGCCTGAATTTTTTATGCTATCATCACACAAAGAAGGAAAGCAGATGCATAATACTTGTGATTCAAATTGCTGGATCGAAAGTTCCAGGATAAAGTGATGATGGATCAAGTTGTTCTACATGAAAGAGATGATATCAAATTCTTAAAAAAAATATTCTCAATGTCAATTCTCTTTTGAAATGGGAATGTATTCTGACTTGATAAATTAATACTATAATGGTGATGATAATATAAGCTCACATCAGATAAATGATGAGATGAAACCAAATACCCCATTCTTGAACTATGTAATTCCTTGAAGATCAGGAAAGTCAAAGGACCTTAAAGTAGTAATTCATTAATAGACCATGTGATCAATTTTGTAGAGTATTAAGTATCAACACAATATTTGACTTTAAGAAAGTTCTCAATTTGCATCCTACAGTTCAACAGCATTATCTTCACATGCAATCAATTGATTTGTTTGATTTGGCATTGCTTTGAATTTTAATATCGTTGTTGTTCTGCTCCTTATGCTTAAAATCTAGATAGCTACCACGAGGTCTTTTGACAATTAAATCAAAGTTAGATTTTGCAATCTTTTACAGTCTCTAAAAACCAGCAGCTAAATCACCGAAAGTTAGTAGTAGCATTTGGCAGTGTAAGACTAGTTCCTATTGAATACATTAAGCTAAAATGTAGGGTACCTGATTGAATATTCTCATTTACTTTTCTGACAAATTTTCCTGATCAAATTGCAGATAAGTGACAAAGATATGTTAAGAATCCTAATCTGTGCGATTAGCCAACCCTTTACTATTCATGTACTGCAAATAGTATTAGAAAAATGTTAGCGCTTTTGAGTCTTTTTGATGCAATAGTATATTGAATTTTGGGGGCACAGATAGTTATTTCTTGTATTGTACTAAACCAACTTTCGGATGCTTAATTCATATTAAATCGACACTTTTCCATTCCTCAACCCAAATGGTGATTACTAATATTATAGTTATAGGAATTTTCCAATAGTTTAGTGCACTAACAATGGTGTTCCAAGTGGAGAATATCTCAGCTTCATTTCTTTTTTAGGTAAATATGCAATGTGTTGAGGAAGGAGAAGTAGATAATATTGTGGGTCCCCAAGGCATCTTCTTTTTCCTTTTTGTACGACCATTACGTTTGTTTTTGTAATCCTTCAATACTATAAAGAGCAAGGTGGCTTTACAGTAAGCATCTTTGTATTTCTAATTTTCTCCTTTCCTTCTTTCTCTGTTGGCTTTCGGTTTCTTGAATTGAACTTATGCGAATCTTGTTATGGGGAAAAAAGGTGCTATCCAATTGGATAAACTCAACTTCTCTTTCCACTTCAGCAGAGATGCCGCAAGAAGATGGATAGAGAATAGGTAGTTCTAGGATTGGGAAAATACAACGGGAGAAGATAGCAGGAAAAAAAAAACCAGAAAGAGTTAATTACCAGAATGGACTATTGGACGCAGGATTCAATTTCATTTTTTGTGATATGTAGGGCATATTGGCTTGGTTCTGATTACAAATTCTTCTATTCTGGGGGGTGTCAAAGGTTCCTTACAGAAAGACTGTTCTCTTTCAGTAGTAGAATATGTTAAAGATAGTGCAGTCATTTTAAATCTATTTATTCTCACATGCTCCTTATAAGCATACTGTTATGCAACTTGTTATTACTAAATGTAGGGAGACATAGATGTCTTTATCAATTAATCATCAAGGGCAATATTGGAATGATGATCTTTTGGATTATTTTATTCCTTTCCTGTGTCAGTTCATGGACAGTATAAATAGGTTTCCAGTATTGTTTGGCTCCTCATCAAGGCTAAGCAGTTTAAACCTTTAAAGTCTCTAAGAAGGTTCATAGCACTCACATTTTCAAGTACTCTTCTCTGCTGCAAAACAATGGAAGTGGTTACAAGGATGGTTGCTGACAGGCCAGTGGTGATCTTTAGCAGAAGCACTTGTTGCATGAGCCATACCATCAAGACTCTCATAAGCGGCTTTGGAGCAAATCCAACTGTTTACGAGCTGGACGAAATTCAGAACGGGCAACAAGTTGAAAGGGCACTGCAGCAAATGGGTTGCAAGCCCAGTGTGCCAGCTGTATTCATAGGGCAGCAGCTTATTGGAGGTCCTAATCAAGTCATGACCCTCCAAGTCAAGAACCAGCTCGTCCCATTGCTCATAAGTGCAGGAGCTATATGGATTTGAAAGAGGAAGTAACTAATTTCTATACTCAAGTTCAATACCGTGTTGCTAAACAAAATCAAATAAGTGATACGGTTTTGTCTGTGTTTCCTTTCGGTTTTTGTAGTTTATACAACACGTACTGTCATCTTTTAGATATTTTTGCAGAGCATCCTTGTACACCGTTTTTGGGGCTAAGCAGGGTCATAGTATTTTCCTTGTACTAAATTTACGAGGAACTGGTATTTTAACTAATTGGCCATGTAATATCCCTTGCCTACGCTAAATAAAGGTATGTCTGCTATTATATACTGCTTTAGTAGCTTGAAACAATCCACTATGTCCTGGGAACACTAGCACATAAAATACAGGAGCAGAAACAGCACAACAAGCTTCTGGGTGAGGAGGCCATATAACAGCAGCATGAACTGAATAAACAGCAAGGTAAGCTACTTGAAATAACAAGGTTGAGAAGTTACATTGTTGAGATGTCCTGACTCTCTATTCCAGATTGTCAAATATGCTCTTCAATTGTATGCATTGATGACCTTTTAATGGAAAATTAATCTTCAAGAGCAGCCCCAAATAATTGGAATTTGACAGATAAACTGAGCACACAAAAGAATACAAAAAGTACTAATAAGCATCCCTGGAGTATGATTCGGCAATATAATTAATAATGGGGAAGTCAACAAAGAGCAAAAGGGGAGCGCTCATTAAACTATTCAGTGCATCATCTTAGTAGATGCCTGCTTCATGGCAAGTTTCCTTGTTTTTTAAGGCTTCTAACTCAAACAAAGAATTATAAAACAACGCTGCACAAGTTACTACATTGGAGGCTCAATGGCCGCTGGATCAATCTCGGAAACCCAATATGGCTAAACTAGTGCCCTTCTTGTGATCTGATCAGGCCAAAGCACCTCATTCTGAAGGATTGTTCTCATTTTAGCTGAAAATGCTAATTCAGGTTTCGTTCTGTCACTTTGTTTTCCCCTCAAAGCAGGGCGTTCTGTCGCTGTAATCACTTTGGCAGCAGCCCAGTTCCGTCAATGCTTTGCTATACAATCACGAACTTGATAGTCAACCATATTGATTTGGCTCCTGGTCAACAATTAACTAATTTTCCTAGTAGTTGGCCTGGCCAGTCTCAGTAGTAAATAGGGAGTACATAGTTTTTCCTTCTTGGCTAAGCACCAATAAGTAGTGGTAATTAGTAAAGCAATAACCACCTTAAAGGGGCTGCAAAGCGCACGAAAGACGATTAGTCTTTGGTTCGGAAACAGTTGAGTCATATACAAATTTATGCTGATGTTAATGGAACTTTTGTCCTTTGAAGTTGACACAGAAAAACATGCGTTGGAGAATCCAAACAAATGCTTCTAAATTAAGCCGTATCTTTAAATACAAAGCTGTTGGTCCAATACATTTTTTTTTATGGATAAAATAAAAGGTTGCGCGGAGACATCAATTGACAGACCAAGACATTGTTTGCCTCAGGTTGACACCTATGGTAGTTCATAAATTCAGACGAGAAGATGTGGAATATAGGAAGCGAACCTCGTGATTATGAAAACGTCTAAAGTCTAAACACCCCCAAGGTGTGCGAAGATGAATGGAGCCACATCAAGGCGAATCGTGCGAGATAAAAAAAAAAAAAAACATTCCTGCTTTTCAAATCATAATTAGTCTGCTTAACATATGTGGAGAATAATTTAGATCTGGAAGATGAGTTACACTGGAGTTGAGACTTCTGTTTGATGCTTTTTAACTAGCCACTTTGTGTCGGAGAATTTTCTCAGTCTTGAAACAGGGAAAGCACCAACAAAGATGTGCCATTTGTCATACGTATTCAGTTACCGATTTTATGAACTAACTACCCACAAGAAGTCTGGCGAGGGAAGGAGGTTCCTCTTCCTTGATAATCTAGATTCGATCTTTATGAAAACACTATAAAGTAAAATCATAAACATATCAGACTTATGTGAAAAAATACACTTTTAAATCATTCAAAGAGATTAAGCTCACATAAGACTTGAAATTAACACTGACCGTACTACTTTAAAAATTATTTAGTAGGAACCTTGAAGGGCCAAGCTTTAGCATCAGAACTTACAAAAAGCAGAACCTAGGAAGATACTTCTAAGCTTGCCGCTTATATTTATATAGCCCATGTTTTATAGAGCTAGCTCTCGTGCGCAACATTGGAAAGAATGCTCTAGCCTTCAACCGAAGTTTTGCTTTATCTAGTGACTCTGGTTAAATTACAAGTCAAAATTTCGCGGTTACTTTCACTTAAATTTGAATCTTTCTAACATTAATTGATATTAAGCCAAATACATGTCCTTGATGCAATAACGTCTTTCTTCCGCGTTCTGGTGGGATCAACCCGAGTTCCAATCTACAAAGACAATTTTATCTCAGTTTCAAAGCGCAAGTTTGAATTGGTGTTGCTAACTCATTTTGATTTCTAAATAATGTCAGTGAATACTAGCCTTGCCTTCTGGCTGATTGGGTTAGGTTCATCAGAGAAAAGCATTTGAAGCCTCCAATCGAGCTTTCATAGTACAACATATTACCCAAATTATCTCCTTTCATGTAGCCCTCGAGATCTTCGGCAGCAGCAGCAGTGGTTGCGTGTGCCATATCATGACGGGACTCGTAATTGACCTTGGGGCAAATCGTACCGCACGCTAGACCAGATTCCAAACATTCAACAAATTGATAAGGCACAATAGCAGCTTGGGCGTCAACCCACTGTACCAGCTGTATTCATAGGGCAACAGCTCATTGGATGTGTCCCTCAGGTTATGGCCTTCCATGTGGATCATCAGCTAGTCCCATAGCTTAGCAATATGGATATGAAACAAAAGTACTTTCTCAACTCAGCTCTGATGCCGGGTTGCAAAACAAATTAGAAAAATGACTACCTCTATTATTCATTTTGGCATTAAAAAATGAGTACCAATTAACGATTTTTACCTTTTAAACTTTCTTCTGAAGGCAGGGTTGCATATACAATTAACTTGTGTTTAACTTCTCATGTAATATCCTTGCCGGTGCTTTGAATTACATGCTCAATTTAATGGCTTGAACACTGATTCAACCTAATGCTCCACTTTATACTGTGGAAAACTTCCATACAGAATACAGTATCAATTATAAGAAACAGCAACTAAACTTTAGAGAATCCAGGGCATCTTCGCAGATAACAATGTCATGGCACTGGCAGTTTTCCAAACTTTTAAGGCCAAGAATTTAAAAGGGCAAAGATACAAACAGAAGTAACCAGACACAAGATACCTGCAGGGATCAAATTCAAAGCCGATAACTGCATAGTGATATAAGCATTCTTCCATTTCTTCTCAAGGATAAGGGCCAGCTTTCATCCATTAATAAGCAGAACTTGAACAATATTAATTATCAGGAACATTGTCCAGTCTCAATAGAAAATAGCATCTTTTTTATTGAAGAACCATTACTAAATCCACATCAACTGCAAATTATTACTGGTATCATGTACAAATCTACAATCATTCATACCAACTACGGATCAAAAACTCATGGAATAGTAAACCAAATCAGGTTAAAAAACTGAAAAACATCTAAAGCCAGCGAAGATAACCACACCATGTCTATAGGAAACATATGAGATAGAAATTCATCTTGCCACAATCATTCATAACTTTGAATAACTATTTAGAACTAAACAACGAGTCACATTGGTTTTGTACATTCTCTTTTACGATTATAACCACAATGTATCAGAGGATTTTCTCTTGTATTTGGAAGAGAAGTAACAATGTTTAAATACCGAAATTAGAGCTATATAATCTTCATTAATCTACACGAAAAAGAGTATTGAAAGGCAAATTTCAAAAATTTATTCAGAATAAAGTTTACATACCGAAAAACACCAAGCAGCTCTAAGGAAAAAGGCTAATCTAAATGCAATTTGATAAAACACTGACGAAATTTATGACTTTTCATCTTCTCTACAAAAATTCCTTCAATAAAACATCTATTGAGAACAAAACGGCAGTACAATAATTGTTTACCTGTGAATGTAATCTTTCAAGACGCCGTTTCTTTGCTCTACAATCGCATTCCTCCGCCAATTCTCGACGGCTCTAAGAACCGTAGCGTTTGCCTCGCGAATTTCGTCGGCGGTGTATTTGTGCTCGATGATACCCAAAGGGCCAGGTTGTAGCACCTTGATTACAGTTTCCATTTCTTGCTCCAATTGCCTGAAAAGATCAAAAGCATGTTAAAAAGATTCAAAATTTTCGAGACTCGGAAACCCTAAAACGGGAGAAAAAGGAATCAAAGGCTGAATTTTTACGAACCGGAAAAGCTTCGGGATAGGCAAGACGTTGCCCAATTGAGAAAGCGATACCCTCATCTCGATTCTCACGGTTTCGATCCGAAGAACGAAGCGACAACTAATAATAGAGAAGAGGAGAGGAAGGCGGATCTTTAAGCCTACGGGCAGTTGAAGAGGCACAGGAAGAAACGCCTCCGGTGACGCTTCGATGAAAGTTATTTATACAATGAGCTTGGAATGTTAAGGACTTACTTAGTTAAATCTTTGGGCTGTGTAGCACGCTAGTTTAATCAGCTACCTAATGGGCTTCATTTTTCTAACAATTATTAACTATCAAATGGGCTCCATTATACTACCCTGCTTCTCTTAGCCCAAAACATTTAACCAAATCAGCGCGTCACATTCCAGCTCATAGCAAGGTCGTAAGTGAAACGCAGCGTTTTACCTTACTTGGTGGTCTTCTTTTCTTTTCTTTTTTTTTTTTTTTTGAAAACTTCTAAGCTGTGACAAATAAACAGTCCAAATTTGTTTTTAATGTAAAATAATTTCTGGAGGATGGAATAATTGAAGGGGTTTTTATCCCTTATAAAAAGAAAATCTTAGCTATTTACCAGTAAATTATAATTAAGTGAATATATACTTATTTCTTGCCCTCAACTTTAGAACATAAAACCTTTATAAGATTATAAATTCGTTTTTTTTTTTAACAAATGAGACAATAATCTGAAAATATAAAAAAGATTGATGTAACTTTTGAGATTTGAATTTTAAATTTATTACATAACATCTCTTAAGGATATCTGTATTAATCAATTAAATTAAAATTTAAGTTCTACAAATTTATGATTTTCATTACTTGTAAATATATTATCACTTTTACACAAAAGCAATAATGTTTTGGCTTTAGATTTTTAACCCAAAAAGAAAAAAATCCCAGGTGAATTTAGATAAAGTCTAATTATTAAAACTTTATACGTGCCAAGAAAATTAACAAAATGGTGCCAAGAATGTTTATACAACTGATTAAAAATGTGATGGCTTGCTTAAAATGTTGTCTGTCTAACTTCATTCATATACAGATTTTCACATTCACACATTTAGCGAAGAGCAAGCACTTAAGATGCAAGTTTTGATTGACTATATGCCCTTCCCTCAAGACTCTTTCAAAATGTCAAGGCAATGATCGCACTGAACAAAGCAACCCCAGAATCCAATACACTCCAAACAAAATAAAATAAAATAAAATACTAGCTACTATCAAGGCTGCCATTAGACCACAAATTTCACACTACATATAATTACTATACACTCTTCAGTTATTCACACCTTTTAATGGTCATGATACCGAGTGACGCCTTCGCCTTTGGAACAAGAATCGAGATTCTGAATTTGCTTTACCCCCTGTAGGCTTAAGATTGTTGATCCTGAATAAGGAGTTGAGCTTGCTTAACTTCTTGGTGAATGATTTGAATAACTTGTTAGCTGGATGAGTCCTGACCAACTCTTGTTTCATGGACACATGATCTTTTTCTAGGTCGGTTAGCCTCATTCTCATTCTTGCAACTTCAAGTTTCAACTCCCGGTTCTCTCTTCTCACTGATGCGTAGTTGTCTCTTGGAGAGATGGCTCCACTTCCTGCACCGCTGCTTGAACGTTGAGGGAACTGACCGTTTATTGCACCAAAGAAGAACTGATTGTGGCCTCCACTCATTGCATTACGAAGCCTGATTTGCTCAAAATATAACACTTGGACAGCCATTTGCACTGGTAACCTTTCGTTCTGTGCTGCATGGCTACAGGCTTCTTGAGATAGTTTCTGACAGTCGATGGTTTTGCATAGTCTGTAGCGTTCAGAATCCTTTATGTTTGGATGAACCTATAAACACAAGCAGAAAATGGTTCTAAGAGCCTGGAAATGAAATTATGAAATACCTTAAGATAAATTAGCTATGGAACTACTTAGTGCTTTTTTATGAGATCCTCACTTTGAGGAAGATATCAACAGCTCTGTATAATCCATCGCTAGCTATACGAGCATGATCTGGAAGTAGTTCTGCTAGTGCTATAAATTTTGATGGCAACAAGTTTGTGTCTAGTGCAACTTCTGCAAGATAAGTATCCAGTAACTTGGATACTTTGAGGATTGAACTTTGTTTGGGAGATCCTGGGCTGTCAAAATCATATGCCATTTCACTTTCATCTCTCAAGGGATTATCCTCATCCTCATCCTCATCCAAGTTCAAAAAGATGGAAAAGATTCTCAGGATTGACTCTGTATCATACATGGTTGTATGATTGTTTCCATGTGAATTCGCTGGAATTAGGATATCTTCAAGAATTGCCTGGTCTAGTTGCAGACCAATCCGCCTTTCCAAATCAGATCTGCAAGAAGTGGATGCTGATGAGGCTATTGCAGTTTTCAGTAGACTGGAGAGAAAAGCCATGGGAACTGCACTCTTCCTTGATTGAGTTGGCAGTAAGCTAACCATGGCTTCAACGATTACCCTTTGTTTCTTTTGTAGCTCCAAATCCAACAGGCTTCCCTTTACCGAGTGAGGATCCCTGACAACCAGACCTTGAAGAGAATTATGGGTATAATTTATCAAAATTTTGCTGATCGTATCCTGTTTTAGACCCTTTGACTTTACTGCCGATAAAACTCGTTGGAAGAAATCAAGATTAAGAACTGAGAGAGACTTTCCCCACCAGTCAGATGGTGTTTCTGGTTCCATGTTAGGCATAGCTTTTGATGGAAAGTTGTGATCAAGTTTCAATAAGCCAGAAGTGAGCTGCTCTTTGCATACATTATTTGCAATTGCATTGATAAGCCTGTTAACCAGGTTGATCTCTTCGGATATGGGCAAGAGGCTTTCACAACGGTGAAGAACACATATCGTGCTCGATATGTTTGGGAGTACCATGTCCTTCAGATAAGTTTCTGTACGAGCTTCCAGGTTCTTCTCTGCAAACTCTTCTGTCATATCCAAGAAATGTGATGCACATCTTAACATTGCAACGTTTGATAACGTAATCTCAACATTTATTCCATAGCAGAACTTTGCAGCCAGCTCAAATGCCTCTGGTCCACCAGGAACAGAAGAGAGATTTATGCGTGAAATTTTTGCATCCTTTGCGTCAGTCAACAACTTCCGGATTCTTCCACTCCGGGAAACTAGAGGGAACTGAAAAGAAATTTTCAACCACATGATTAAAGCTTCTGTTGCAATAGTGCAATCAGTTTCTTGGACGCAAGGTAGAGATCTTTCAAATACCATTTGCATACATCAGAAAACATGAAAGCATAAATGCTGTTCATAGTTCATTTTTCAGTATTGGATCTATATGTTAAAGCAATAGCTTAAGTGGATAGTCAAACATTGTTAATTTTGAACTTTGAACATTCTCAAAAAGGATTCCCCACGTTTCTATGGTTCAAGGGAAGCATGGATCTTATGCACATATGTTCGGAATGCAATCTGGAAGTCGTAAAAACACAAAATTTTCACGTAAGGACATTTTTTTCCCTATGCGGTAATGTAGTGAGCGTAAGTGTAACCATAGACACCATGACAAATTAGATATTTTCTGCTAAAAAATGCCAAAACGGATTCACCTTACCTTGTGAAGTGCAAAGTTTGATGCTCCAACCTCAATCGTAAGATCACTAGAAACATCAGAAATAGGCCTGCAAGATAGATAACTAGGTTAAATGATGCTGCATACTGCATGGAGACTAAAACCTAGGAAATAAAAAAATAAAGAAAGAAAGAGAGAGAGATGAATGCATTTCTACATGCTTGTTAGTGCCAATAATTTAGATATCATATTGTTCCTTTTGCCATAGACCTGCATTCCGATGCTTGAACCCATAAATTTCCCACTGGTTCAGTCAATTGTAAGTCTCATTTTGTATTCATTGAACATCTCAATCTATGGACAAAATCTATCTTGATTCCATGGTTCGACACGGAGGGCCCAGAGGGGAAAACTGACAACTCAATAACTATAGCATGAGTGATGTTGCTCAAAGAGCACGGCAAGCAATAAGGTCACAATGCTATTAAAAGTTAAAATTTTAAAGCCTACACTGCTGAACTGGTCTTGGTTTGGAAATGGAAAACAATTCAGCTATTTTACTGACTTGTTGCATAGATATGGTTGGATCCTATGGGCCCCTTAGATTTATTGGATAGCTGTGTGTGTTTTTGTTGCATTAATCTGTAATAAGCAAGAAGGTTTGTCAGGCTCAATTAACTATTGTACGACTTTCTCGTACATGTTTGAGGGACTCTAGACGGTGAATTTATCAATTATTGATGGGCAGCTTATTTGGAATTTAGCAGTTCACGTTGTTGATTGTGTAGGATAAGAATACGTCCCCATCCAGCTGCCGAGCCTCGTGGTGCTGTCACTTTGGTCTTTGGATGGAAGACTTCCAAGGTCAAGATCGCAGCTCAAAGGGGTTAGTCTGTCACCCTCGACGCTGACTGTATTCCAGGCTTATCAGCAAGTGGTGCTGTCTAATTTAATTTATTTGAGGGGCCTTAGATGAGGCTGATAACAGACTGAAGCCCCTATGAAATGGGTTGGGAATCTATCAAAATGATCTGATATCAAAATTTAAGGAAAGCTGAAATGCAAGTACTTTTCTGATAACAGTTTGTTCTTCAGAGTTCAGACTATTGGTAAATTATATAAAAAGAGAATTTCACTCTTGCATAAATTATGAACCTAGGAAATACTAGAAAAAATAATAAATTCTAATGTTGTTATTATTGTCAGAGTGAAGAATGAAGTTGGAAAACGTAGCTTTCGAAATTAAATTCAAAATCTGAGTCAATTACTCAGGTTTCAGAAACTGTTTGACAAATAAACTCGAAGCCCCAAACTCAATTAAAAATACTACTGAATTTTTCCCTAAAACAAGAAAAAAAAAGAGAGAGAGAGAGAGAGAGGGAGCTTCCAACGTTTCATGTATCGGAAGTAAATATTAAATGCAGAAATATTGAACAAAAAAAAAAAAAACCCACCAATTTAAAATCTAGTAGCCAAGTTTTGGATTATACATTTGTCCAGAATAGAAGTAAACTATGATATGTACGTGTGAAGGTAAACTTAAAACCATTGTGGAACAGAGCTAGTTTTCGATAGACAATTGCAAAGAAGAAGAAAGTTACCATTCAGTGGCGTGCCTTATACTGGAACTTGGACGAAAAGATCTCTTCCCAGATATACTTGGTTTGAGTTC